CAGGGAGAGCCCGGGCGCTGTGTGCTCAGGGGCAACGCCCTGACTCATATGCATGCAGGTGGAATCCACGCACCCAGACAGAGTGCAGAGGCCAAGGCTAGAGAGGAGTCTGTCTAACTTTGCTGTAAATGAAAAGATTTTGAAGCACATAGTTGAAAATATCATCCCGAGTTCCTACTCAAAAGGAAGAGGAGCATAAGGCAGAGGCATCTCAGAAGCTCTCAGGTGTCCTCTTCTGCAGCAGTGATCTGCAGGTGAGAGTGAGACCCAGCTCCTTGGCCACTGCACTGAGGTGGGAGGACTGCTGCCTTCACCCCGAGTTCCAGGCGGGGATGCTGGGTGTTCACTCAGAGGATGCAAATGAAAGCGTGTACTAGGGTCCGGGAGAAAGACTTCCTTCACAAGCCAGGGCCACGTGGGACTGCCACTGAGCCGGCCAACGGGCCCTGGGGCTGCCTCCTCTGGTGACATCCATGCCTCATTGCCCTGCAAGTGGCCTGCCTGGTGGTTTCTAGAATCCAAGCCCAGCTTCAAGGTCCATGTGACTGCTATTTCTCTGGTGCAAACATTTTTCTGTTCTCCACAGGGTAAGCACTCTGGGCCAGACAAGACTATGCAGAAGTTCAGAGTTTTTCTTTAGCTGTGCATCTGTGTTTGTGCTCAGTATCCGCCCCATTTCTCCCGTGTCTCCCCACGGGCCTTGTGCAAGTGTTTCACTTTGGGTGCAGATTACGAGACTGTGGACTCCTCCACAGACATTCCTCCTGGTCCTTGTGCCTTGTGCCCTGGCCATGAGCGGCTCCTCCAGGGTGGAGAGGATTGAAGGGAACGAGACGCCTGGGTTTCACCGTTAATGCATGAGTGACCTAGACCGTGACCTGGGTTCAGGGTTTTCATGCTCTCTCCGGGAACACACACACCTGAAAGGCACATTCCCGAAGCTGATAGAAGTTAGTCTTTCTGATAACTCACTCACGATCGAAGTTCCTCACAGTGCAGAAGCTAAAACTCACGGCAAAAGCATGCACATTTTATTCTAGGAGGGCATGGTCTCTTCATCCCCCTTTATCCACTGTGGTGTGATAGCACCTGGAGAGATAACTGAGTTTATCTGCAGTAGTTACAGCACAGATGATTGTGAAGCACAGGACAAGAAGGAAGCCCAGGCTTCAGCATGTTCTGCAGACCCTGCATCCTGGGTCCAGGACCAGGTGCTCATTCTTAACCCTCCTGCTGTCCTGTGGTACCAGGACGGTGGCCACCCTCGCCCCTCCTGCTCTTTCTCACGTCATGCACACTCCTCACGAATGCAAACCGGTTTCTGCTGCTTTGTTTTGCTGCCCACAGAATGCTCTTCCCTCCATGCACCTGGCTGCTGTCCTCTACATTCTCACCTCTGGTGAGCTGTGGACTTCTCAGGGACCTTTGGAGCTCCTGGCACCCTCTGCTTCCTTGCAGCCTGCTCTCTTGCCGTTTGAGCCCTCCTTGACCTCCTGCCAGGGCTCGTGTGGGTTTTCTGCAGCCTATACCACGCTACAAGCTCCTCCAGGGCAGAGGTTTGGTCTATGGGCTTTTCTCTTAGACCCTGCAGTTACAACAAATCAGTGGTGCTCAAAAATATTTGTTTGTCACAGTCTATAAACTTCCACGATGGCTGGAAACTGTTTAGGCTGAAAGTGCAGCCTATATACTGGCTGGAATGCACACGTGCCCACCTGGCCAGACCTCAGAGAAGTGCTATTTAAAGAGCCAGCCACACCCAAGCCCATTTTGTGCAGAGTGGGAAGTATAGAGAAAGGTGTGGCTCAGTCACCACGTGGAAAGACTTATGGTGCTGTGCAGAAGGAACACAGGATCCCGGCTGACATCCGTCCGGCACGGATCATTTCTAAAGCCTTTGTAAGGGAGCTGCCTGTGAACGCTGGAGAAGAGAGCAAAGGAAAAACCACCCTGACTCTGGGGATTTGCACCGTAGTGCAGCAGGAAGTCCTGAAATCGAGGGAAGTGGTGTCTCAGCTGAAGGGGCAGAGAACAGAGTGAGAGGCCCCATGACAGCGGGAATCACAGGGGACGTGCTGCTCCCGGGTGGGAAGGCGGGAAGGCCTCCGTGGAGGGAAAGGGGAGTCTGCAGACACGAGGGGCATGAAAAGTGCACATTCACTGCTTTCAATCCTCTTCAAGAGGCCCTGCCAAGTGGGCCCACCTGCATGGGAGGAGACGGCTGGGCAGCTTCAGACAGAAGATAAAGAAATGAGAGACAAAACCACAGAGGCCCCAGTGTGCAAAACCCCTGAATAAGAACATTAAAGCAAGCAACGCAAAGCCAGGATACTTGGCTGTGCAAAGGAGTCAGAGAAGCCCTGGCATTACTCAAGAAGCATTCGTTCACATGAGCATCTAGTGCCCCGTGCTGAGGTCTCCAGCATACCAAGATGGCGTGGCAGGAGGAGTCACAGCACAGATCTCAGCTGGCAAACACCCTCGAGGGAAGCAAGTGCAGCAAGAAGGGCATCTTGGTTTCATGGATGGAAGGTTTAGATTTATTAGAGTGAAATTGCCCTTTGTAAGTAGAAAGAATTGCCAAGTACTATACAAGTTCATGCAATTTATCTTAAACTTTTAATAGGATTTCTCAGCAACTTGCCCTCTAAGCTCTCTCTACTGATCTGTCCGCAGGATTCCAGCAGTAGGTCTTCTCCTTTCTGGTCTGACTGTGCTACCCCCATCCCAGTAAGGATTCCCTCCAGAGAGTCCTGGGTGGGCTGACAGCAGCTGAGCAACTCAGTTGTCCACCCACTACTTTGATTTACGTGTGTTCTAAAACTGCTTTGTCAGCCATATTAGGAGGACAAGCAGTGATCCCAATTACTCTTTTATTATATAAGCACTTACAGGACAAAGTATAAATTATCAAATAAAAATAAAACATTAGAGATGAATGTGATATATATATATATAGTCATTCTAATATAGCATGTTGATAAATGCACTCTAAAAATATCATTCAAAGTAAATACTTTATAAAATTCAAGAAAAATTAATGTGAAAGATTGAAAGTGGGAACTGTTTTTGAAACTTCTAAAGGTGATCCACCATGATAAAACATCATAGGGCTGAAAGGGAAAAACTACAAGAGAAATTGCTCTTTTTCAGACTTTGTTCTTTTGAAGCTGCCTATCTCTGTGATGGCTTCATGGCTTTGTAATTACTTTCCTGGCCCCTGTAACCATGACAGCGTAACTGAACATGCACAATGCCTGATTGTATCATTGTACCAAGCTTCATAAACTGATCATCATTAATCTACCCTTGTAACCCATGAGCTCACCCTGCTAGCTAATCAGGAGAACTGCCAGGCTGTTCTGCCTCACCTTTGTATCTCCTTTGTACCTCCTGCTTGTGCGTCATATAAAAGCCCTAGACCACTGGAGATTGGGGCGTGATACCCTGGGAATGATCCCAACCAGTGCCCATGGATGTAAATAAATCTACCTCCAAATCCTGGGTGTCATTTTGGTGTTTCTGCTTGTTGCTACAGGGTCAGCAGGGAGGCCCCTGTGGACTTTTACTCAAATATTTCCAGTTGACCCAAAAAGCAGTATCAGAAGAGGAGAGAGGAAATAATTCCAACCTAGTGTTTCCTGTAGGCCCTTTGTTCTCACAACTCCTAAGTGGAGCATCTAGAAAGGACATTTTGACAAGGCTACTTCCCTCTGGGGACTTCAATCCTTTAACTGCTTACAAACTCTGCTGGTTCTTCCCAAGGAAGCACATCGAGGTCATTGCTGACAGCTTAGGCCTGGCAGGTGTGGGAGGGCCTGGTGCTGATGGTGGAGCAGTGACAGCCCCTCTGAGCCCTCTCCTCATCCACTTCCTCAGAGGACAGGTGCACAGAGGCAGACATTCCAGTTGAGGGTCCTGGGACTGTCAACAGGATTTCTGAAGTCCGTGAATATTTTCTCCCTGAAAATGTGCAGCAATTGTGGGCCAAAAGTAAGGTCTCCCAAGTGAAGTGTCACTCTCATTATTGAGGAATTGTTTCACACTTTTGCAATTGAAGGAGGCACCTGTGTGAACCACATACACCTGCTGGTTTTGGACCACACCCCCCTGGGAGCCATTGATGTCTCTCTGGCCCCTCCCCTGTCCCAATTATGCTTTGTCCTTGTCCAAATCATATCCATTGTCTAATTTCTTTATGTCCCATTGTGGAAATTGACCCCAGTGAGCAAAGTTGTGCCCCATTTACTCACAGACACCCCCATTACCTAAGAGGGAGCCTACATGCAGCTGATCAAAGTCACTTTGCAAATGAATAAACAAGTAACATAATTTAGTGAATGTGTTCTTTTTGCTAAAATGTGAGACACAACCAAGTTTGCAACACCCTTATAAGTGATGTGTTTGCATCCACATTTCATAATAGTGATGTTTACTAACAAGGGGTTTATTTCTGTATATTCTTTTTATCTGAAGACCATAGCATATTCATTCATCTTCAGATAGATTATTTTGACTTACGTATTTTGCATCACATACATGTTCCAGCTCCCCACAATGAATGTAATCATGTACAGCAAACAAGTACTAATAAAAATAAAAAATTAAAAAATGGAGGAAAAATCTGACTTGTATTGTTTACAGTGAAAAGCATGTAGAGTAAAACAAAACTGGTGCTGACATCTTCTGGCAGCTGTGGCAGAGAAAAACTGGAAGAGCTGAGGAGATGCGTCTATTAATCGCAGCATTTGCGTCGTCAGCACATCTGTGTCGCCAAGTGGAGCCCTTTATTTGATTAAATAAATCAAATACCTTTCTCTCTAGTTCAAATTACAACCTCCTTCTGGCTTTTGTAATTAAGTGTTACATGAACTGAGTGTCTTTTGGAAACCGTTGATGTAATGATGATTAGGCTATCGGGAAGAAAGCATGAACTTGTGGAGCTAACAGTGCCTGTTGCGCATATTTTTAATGGTCCATTTGTTTTCTCCCATTTTCAGAAATTGAAAAGGGCGGGTGCGGTGACCCCGGAGTCCCTGCCTACGGGAAGCGGACCGGCAGCAGTTTCCTCCACGGGGACACGCTCACTTTCGAGTGCCAGGCAGCCTTCGAGCTGGTGGGCGAGAGGGTCATCACTTGCCAGCAGAATAACCAGTGGTCAGGCAACAAGCCCAGCTGCGTGTGTGAGTGCCCCACTCGGGAACAGCTCAAGGGTGTGTCCTAGACACGCCAGGTGTTCTCAAACCCCACCCACCGTGTTCTCAGCTCAGCCTCACTCCTGTCTGTTAGGTAAAGGCAGCTGAGTGTGTCCTGCTAGAAAGGACATCACACACATAACTTCCTCTTCAAGAGTCTCTGATTGGGGCTGGGGATTTAGCTCAGCGGCACAGCGCCTGCCTGGCAAGCGCAAGGTCGTGAATTAAATTCCAGGTACCGGAAAAAAAAAAAAAAAAAGACTGAAAAAGAGTCTCTGATGAACTTCCAGGTGAGACATCCACACAGTGATGGAGATGCTGTGACCTGCTGCTGCCTACAGTGCTCCAACATGAAGGGTCCTGCCTGCGAGACAGCAGCCAGCCATAGTGAGGGCTTGGAAGAGCATTGCTTCCTCTTGAGCGTAGTGTTTGGACCAGAGGAAAGATTTCACAGCCAATATACAAAGGCTTTTTAAAACTTTTAAAATATACATAGCAGTGGCTGGAAGGCACATATGAAAACCCGTGCAAGAAGGAGCAGAATCACACCCTAGGTGTACTTCGGGTACTTGTTCCCTGCAAAAGAAAATGCATGCATGTATTTTTTTAAAAGTGTGCATTTTTAAAAGTAAAATTTCCAAGAGATTTGTAAGTTATTCAACTTGAACATGATTTGATTTTCCCTGTTATTTACTATTAATCTTTTCCTTCTAAATAGGAAATATAACTAACTTGAATAATGCACGTTAAAGGAGAATGTAAGGTAATGAGTTACCACAGATGCGCAGGCCAAATTGCTCCTCTGGCTCAGAAACGCATGGTTAAATGACCAGAGCCCCTTGGGAAGCAGGATGGTAATTGGTAGTTATGATAATCAGCACGTATTTTTAGCTAACTTGTTAGGATAATTTAAAAAAATGAAAACCCATGCCCAAGTGTGAACCAGTGCTGGCTGTGCTGTACTAGAAAGTGGAACGTTCTATGTGTGATTCGGGAAGGAGAGCACTGCTCCAGGGTGACCAGCGCCTGAGTGCTTGCAGCACAGTGGTCCTCCCTGTGCTCAGTCCACCTCTCTGCGGCAGCGCCCGGGTGCGTGACGCCGGGTGATGATATTTCCGTGTCTCCACAGTTTCCTGTTTCTTCAACTTCACGGCGTCCTCTGGCATTATTCTCTCACCGAATTACCCAGAGGAGTACGGCAACAACATGAACTGTGTGTGGCTGATTATCTCAGAGCCAGGAAGCAGAATCCACCTCATCTTTAACGATTTTGATGTGGAGCCTCAGTTTGACTTCCTCGCAGTCAAAGACGATGGGATTTCTGACATAACCGTCCTTGGCACTTTCTCTGGCAATGAAGTGCCTGCCCAGCTGGCCAGCAGTGGACACATAGTGCGCCTGGAATTCCAATCTGATCACTCCACCACCGGCAGAGGGTTCAACATCACCTACACCAGTAAGTGGCGCAGCCACAGCTCCATGGACATACGGCTGGGATTCAGGGGCTCAAGGGTTATGTGATCATTACTGATGTGATAGGAGTAGCAACCTTATTATCTGGATAACAAAAAAGTTTGTGTGTGTGTGCATGCATGTGTGCACCCGAGCCAGTGCTGAAGAGCAAAAAGATGTCCTACTTGTTTTCATAAATACTTAAAGCAAGTTGGTGGTCTGTCAGCACCTGTCTTGGGTACAAAATTTACATGAAGAAGAGCAAGAAAATAATAGCGGAATTTTTGTTTTTATCTATGTCAGTTACATGTTTCAAGTTCCAGTCTTGGACATCTCAATATTTGGGGACTGGATATGTCTTTTCTTTTCCTCTGGTTTTCCATATATCTATCCATCCACACTCCTTCCTTCCTTTCTTTTTTCCTTCCTTCCTTCCAGCCACCCAAACATTTGTGCATTCACCCATTCATCCTCCCTTTTATCTCTTCATGCATCATCTATGCATTCTTCCTTCTAACCATCCAGCCAGCCAGCCAGCCATCCTTCCATCTATCTTCCTTCCTTCCTTTCTTCATCCTTCTATCTATCTGTATGTAGTATAGTAAAAAGCACTGAGGTGTTAGAGGTCAAGAGCCAATGATTATAATACCAGCTTTTAGAGATACTGAGTGAATTTTGATAAGAGAGGTAACTTCTCTTTGCCTCAATTTCCTCATTGTCCAAATGGATTTTATATAGGAACATGCATTTCAATGCAATTAGAGGTAATAAAGCAAGATAATAGTATATAATAGTACTAATATAAGTAGTATTGATTTATTATTTATCCACTGTGCCTCTTAAGTACTCTACTTAGAATTTGCTGGTGGTTATTTCATGTAGTGATACAGCAACTCAGGGTCATAGGCTTACTATTCTTCATTCTATAAGTAAAAGTAAGGAAGCTTCTGTGATCAGATCAAGAGTCTAAGGGCCGGGACTCCAGCCTGGTCAGATGCACCTCCTCCCATGTCCATCACCAGCGGGTGGGAGACAGTGTTTTCCACATGGTAAAGAGCTGTGGAGATGATGGTTATCTAGTTACCATCCCTCCCATAGATACTGATACCTCACTGATAAAAATGTGTTTATTTATCTGTTTATCTATGAATAATACATAACTGAAATTTGGAGAAATAATGGCTACATAAGTGCATTTCATTCCTTTCTTTTGAATGCAGGTAACTACTGATCAGCCTCTCTACTCTACAGCTTTCTTTTTTCCTTTTCAGCATTTGGGCAAAATGAATGTCACGACCCAGGCATCCCTATAAACGGGCGGCGTTTTGGTGACAGGTTCCTACTTGGGAGTTCCGTCTCCTTCCACTGTGACGATGGATTTGTGAAGACTCAGGGGTCGGAGTCGATCACCTGCATCTTGCAGGATGGAAATGTGGTGTGGAGCTCCACCGTGCCGCGCTGTGAAGGTGGGCCCCGGCCTCTGCACCCTCCCGCCGCAGTCATTCGTGTACCTCAAACAGGCACACTGTGTTACCTCCCATGTGTCCACAACAAGGACAACAAAAGGGGCTCAAACAAGAGGCCTTTATCCTTGCAGGTGTCAGGGGCCAGAAATCTGAGGTCCAGGCGGGGGCTGCACTGGTTCTTCCCACTAACTCTGAAAACTGGGCTGCAAAATAAATAAAAATAAGTAATTGCATATGCTCACAAAGCATTATCTTGCAGGAAACAGATGGTACAAGCACAGGTGTAACAATGTGTGAAAGTTGAAAGCATATAAATATATTAGCATCTCAGGATAATAATTTAAGAAACCTGAAAGGAACGTTCATACCAAAATGTTAATCGTGTTTTTGGGATAATTTTTCCTTTTTAGTGTATTTCTATTTTCTCAGTTGTCTCAAGTCAGCATATGTTTCTTTATCATGAGTAAGTAGAAGAGAAATGTGTAAGTTGAGGATTCCTCTCCTGCCTGGAATTTTTGGCTATGTTCACGCCAAACCCAGGATCTCTACGAGGTCCCAGAAGAGCCAGGAACTCCATGTAGAGATGTTAAACCTGAATACGCCAGGCCCCATCCTCTGCCCCAGCCAGTCCTAAAGTCATGCATTTTGTTTCAAGGAAACACTTCTAGCAAGGCCGACTCTCCCTAGGCTGCCAGTGCTGAAGATCAGAAAGATGTCCTCCTGCTTGTTTTCATAAATTCTTAAAGCAAGTTGGTGGTCTGTCAGCACCTGCCTTGGGTACAAAATTAACACAAAGAAGGGCAAGAAATCATAGTGGCATTTTCGTTTTTGTCTATGTTGATTATGTGTATGGAATGCAGAGTTTGTACCTTTTACATTTTGTGAGATATTTAAAAACAGGTCATTTTTAATCCTGTATACATAAGTAAATATACACACAAGGTATGCTCAGGTGTAAGGGGTAGGAGTGCTGCAGACTAATCCTGTCTATGTACAATGCTCTGGCCGAGCACATCGCCGTTGACTTTGAAGCATGAGTGGTTTCATGAGAAACACGCTTTAAGTAAAGAGTCCTCTGCTCCGGTTCCGCTACTGTGCACTTTACTAGTGACAAGCTGTTTACAGAGGTGTTATGAGCTGTGGGACAAGGTCCCTGAGTGCAGCCTGTGCAGGAAAGATCTTCAGAAGTGCCCAGGATATACACCAGGAAGATCTCCCAGTAACTATTAGCAACAGCCTCAGCCCCAGGCCCAGTCCCAGCCCCAGCCCCAGTCCCGGTCCCAGCTCCAGCCCCAGCCCCCAACAAATGTGAAGTTAAACACAGAATCCAGCTGCAGGCTGATAACAGAGAAAACCCACACCAGAGCTGAAGAATTTCTGGTGAAAGGTTCTGAAAGATTTTCTGGCCTGAGACACTCACTGACGAGTGCAGATGCATTGCAGAAAGACTGGGCGCTCTGAGGATGGGACTAACCAGCCTGCCAGGTGAAAAGTCTGGCGAAAAGAAACAGGACCCCAGCTCCAGAACTGAAGGAGCAGACAGAGTAGCGTTCTTGCCACTTTCTGAGGCAGTTCTGCAAGCCCTCTTTCTTGAGTGCCTCCATAAGTGTGACAAAAAATCCGCAGTGAACGCTGCTGCCCAGTGCCGCCCCAGGGATAGACAGGCTCATAAACACACAATGCCGTGTCCTCTCCACCGTATCACTTGAGCTGGCGCTAGGTGAATTCTGGCTCTTCCTCAAAGTCAGCATCAACGTGAAAATCAACATTTTGAATCAATTCAGGACACTGAGGCAACCAGGACACTCATGAGAAAGGACTTCCAGAACTGCCTCAGAAAGCAGCAGGAACAATAGCATAGGTGTGTTCAAGGGTGGGGTCCGTATCTTGAAGGGATAAATGACAATGTGTGTATCTTTTACTGTCATCCATTTTTAAAAATGTAAACATTCACCGTGACCTACGACCACACAGGGTATGAAGAGCCTCCTCTCCCTCATAGAACATGATTATCAGTTTCCTCTGGTGTCACTTCTTAAAATCAATTCTACTGTTGGCCACAAAGTAAACCTGAAGATCAAAATAAATGTAGGCCACAGCACTGACCGTATTCTCAGTTAAATACCAATGTAGAAAAGAAACAGAATCAAAGCAGATAGCTAAAAATTCAGAAGTACACTCTAATTAATTGTTTATTCCAGAGAAATTCCCACCATAAGTCCTTCAGTTCCTGCAACTCACAGGTGGTGGGGAGGTCCTTTCTACTAAAAATCATGAGAGGCCTGCAGATCCACAGAAAACAAAAACAAAACCAAGGAAATTTAACAAGAAGGTTCAATAATAAGGGCGCCTAATAGGAAGGTTAAAAGATAGAAAAAGATCAGTAATGCTCTAGAGCAGCACACGAACAGAAATCAGATGTCAGAAACAGCAAATCAAAGCAAACGGGAGTTCTTTGCCAGTAAAAGAAAAGCCCTCCATGACTGTGTTAAAGGGAGCTAGGAAAAAAGAAAAGTTTGTCATTGTTAGGAATGTAAAAGAGAAATGACCATTATTTAGAAAGAATGATATAATTTTACATAAAAAGTGTATCTCACAGCAACGTAAGATTTTGTTTTCATTTAAGTATGTTGTTCATTCTAGCAGAACTGACGAGATGCCAGGCGGGACACGGGTTTAGATTGTGGGGCGTCTCCCTGAATCTAAGACCTCCCTCCCTCTCTCTCCCTTTCCCTGCTGTCACTCTCTCATCTCCTCCTCGCCCCCTCCCCTCCCCGTCTCCTCTAGCCTCTAACCTGCTCCTCTTCTACTACCCAGCTCTCTGATAGATTTAAAAGTAGAAAATTCTCTATGAGTGAGAAATAATTGTGTAAGGATATATCTTCAAAATTGGTGATCTTCTAGTGAAATATTAAATACTGAGAAAATGGCCCAAATGAAAAGTGAAAAACATAAATGAAGTAGCACAGGAAATACCTGGGAAAAGCTGAAAGACTGAGAGTAGACAAAGACCTGGTAGCTTAGAGGAGTGCAGTGTGTTCTTGGTCTCCCTCGTGCAGAGACTGTCAGGACTGGGAAGCATGTGCAGATGGGCCTCCTATGTGGAGGCGCTACTGGGGCATCTTCTGCATTCGTCTGACTGCTCCTTGCTGGGTGTCTCCCCACAGCCCCGTGTGGTGGACATCTGACAGCTTCTAGTGGGGTCATTTTGCCTCCCGGATGGCCAGGCTATTACAAAGACTCTTTGAACTGTGAATGGGTCATTGAAGCAAAACCAGGACATTCCATCAAAATAACCTTTGACAGGTAAGGTAAAATGTTTTCTTCCTTCATTCTAGCCTGAGGACTCATGTCTGCCCCATCTTTTCAGCAAATGGGACTTATATCTACAGGAACCCCAGAAGGTTCCTGTAGGACAGAGAGAGAGGCTCTGATTGGTCAGCCCTGTCTCTGGCCCACAGCTAGCTTTGCATCCCTCCTGCTGGGAGGAAGGGGACCTGTGTGACCTCACCCCGGCTGACCCTGTGTCTTTCCTAAACTTGGGGCATGGGGTGGAGTGCGTTCTGCCTGGCGCCTGGTGGCCCAGGGAAACAATTCCCTGTCCCTCCTGTCCTGTCCCTGCCCCTGGCACAGCACAGGAAAGACGTTTCAGCCAGGATGACGGGCACTGGGTACCTGGAGGTGGCTGAAGGCGACCGGCGAGTGCAGCAGATTCTTTGTCTGAGTTTCCCACTGCTTTGGGGACACCAGGGCTTGGTTTGTTGATAGTGTACTTGACAACCTGCAGAATGAGCGTGCTTTCTGAGCTCTGTGTGATAACATTTTCCCATTGGGTTGACACTGAAATCAGTTTTTGATTAAAAGCTAACAATGATTGGAAACAAGCCATATGTTTTGAAACCTAAAGAAGCATCTTCAGTTAAATGTCCAAACTCTCATTTCAGAATCATGTTGAGCTTTTCTAGGGAGGGCCTTTTTCTTGGTTGGATCACATTCTGAGTCTTGATATTCAGACTATTAGATGATCTCAATAGAGATGAACATTATTTATTATATTACATCTTTTTTCTTTATTAATTTCCTAAAAATCAGTGATAGCCATACTAGAAATATATTTTTAGTAAAAGTCATGTTATCCTTAGTAAATATTTTTGTTTGAAATTATTATTCACACTATTACTTATCTCTGTTAGATGATAATCTCAAGTGTGACAGTTCATCAAAACAGTGGAAACATTTTGATTGATTCATGTGTGCTGGAGAGTGGATTTCTGAAAGTAGTATTTACCAACTGAAAAAAAATCTAACTCTGAGCATTCAGGAAAGTAAATTTTGTTTCCTACTAACTGTTGCTCTTTTTAATACTGGGTGAGGGGCTGGACGGAGCGCTCCGTGATTCTCAGCAGAATTTAAACTACTTAGCAAATATCGTAAGTTACATTCTCATCTGGCACAATCTAGTCTCAGTTGCCTGAAGCGTTACCCTTGTTTAATTTTTGCCCATCTGGTCTTTAAAATGTAATTTCAGTGTGGTAGTTGGCAAAATCCTGGGCAACAATGATTTTTCTCCCCTGCATACGCCACAGCCCTTTTAGAGGAGAAGATCCAGTGACTGTGGGCTCCCCGTCCCAGGCCAGCCCACACCCCATGGAGGGTGTGTTTGTCATGGACCCTGAACCCCTGACTGAGGGCGTGGTCATCACCTGTATGCCAGCTGCGGCAGCATGAAGAGCCTTTAGGGTTTTCTGTTTCTGAGATCATACCAGAGATCTTAAGCTGCTGGACGGACACTGGCTGGTGCTAGCCGCCACTTGAAAAGAAAACGGTAGTGTGAATGTGTCAAATGCATGATTTTTATCTTTACTCGGAACCCTGGAATCTTGAACGTGTAGGAACTCATGAGCCCGTTAGGGGAACGATTAGCATGGTAAAGGACAAGGCCGGCCCAGCACTTGGCCTCCCAGATGCAGGTGCCCCGGCCCGCGACCTGTGCTGGTCCACCTGTGCCACAGGGCAGTTGTTCGGGTTCCTCTCTGAGGAGCAGCGCGGCCTAGCACAGCGGGCGGTTAGCTGTAGGAACGCACTGCTGTGCGTGTGGGCTGTGAGGAGTTCACAGCTAATGGCAGCCAGGCGGCACCTTTGGTTCCACACCTGCTTCTGTTGATAATGGAGCTTCTGTGCCATGAGGACAAGGCGGCTCCCCGGCCCCAGCTCTGCACCCCTGAGTTAGCAGGATGTGAGGTGCGGTGTGGGAAGTGGAGCTCGGGCTGTGCAAGTCTTTGGCACAGTGCTGCTGAGTGAGTCAGAGGCGTACGAGGTCAGCTGCTCCCAGAGAGCGAAGGCAGACGCTGAGAATCCAGCTCAGCTCTTGGAGGACGAAATGGGCCCATTTAGGAAATTGTCTCGGCGCCGTGAACGGCTCCATCATGGCACCGAAGAGGCCCCGAGGGGCTGTAACTTTATAAATATAATTGCCGGCCAGACTCTCCGGAAGCACCAGAAAAGTTAAGCACTCTTTGGAAGCTGTTCTAAGGTTTTCCAGTCATTAACGCACCCACTGGTATGCGAAGTGCTGATTGGCTCAGTGTTCTTCTCCGCCTGAAAGGGCTGGTGCAGCTTTAAAAGGCGCAGATGTTTCCAGGAGAAATACGCGAATATCGTCGTGCACTTCGTGCCTTCTTCCTTTAAGAACCCATTTGCCTTCCGCGTGTGCATCTCACGGTGTCCACAGTCACGTGAAGAGCAGTTTGTGAAAAATACCTTGAAAGTACACAATCATTGATTTCTCACTAATTGAGGGCTATTAACGAGGCAGATACTAATGATCTGTCTGCTTAAGAAAACTAATCTAGTTTATAGTGCTTTTGTATCACAGCTGAGTAAAGCTCTTTGTTTGGAAAGATCTCCGATGCTGTGAGATAATGTTGGATAAGGTGCACAGATTTGGGGTGCACTGTTTCTTCCAGAGAAAAAGCAATGTTGTCCCATGATGGGTGTCCCAAGGTACAAACGGGGTGTGATGTTAAATATTCTGTTCCCACGGACATCCACAGGTCGAAGCCCTGGGGGCGCGTGGGAGAGAGTGCTCCGTGGGTTCAGGAAGCGGGCTCCTCTGACGGGATGCCTTTGCAGGTTCCAGACGGAAGTCAACTACGACACCCTGGAGGTCAGGGACGGCCCTGCCAGCTCGTCGCCGCTGATCGGAGAGTACCACGGCACTCAGGCGCCGCAGTTCCTCATCAGCACCAGCAACTACATGTACCTGCTCTTCAGTACCGACAGCAGCCGGGCCAGCGTGGGCTTCCTCATCCGCTATGAGAGTAAGCGGCCCCTGGGTGGGAGTGAGCGGGTGTCCTTCTCGGCTGGCCTGGGGGTGGCTGGGCAGACCCGACCCTGGCTGACCATGTCCTGCAGTCTGGACAGCACTGATGGTGCTCTGCGGTGGAGCATCTCAGCTATTTTCCTTTAACTTCTTAAATATGTATGAATTGCTTATTATAAAGTAAGATGATAAGCTAATTGCCATGTAAGGTACTTATATGTTCTTATTTTCAGAAAAGATTCCACTGGCCAGAAGGGATGTATCTTTAGCGATGAGTAGGGGCTTGCTGGTAGGGCAGTTGGTGTTGTACACGGAGTCTGGTGACCCAGGCAAAGGCGTTCCACTCTGGAGAGAGCACAGATTTCAATGGAAATAAAATCTAGCTATGCAGAACTGTGTACCAATGGCTAAGAGAATTTTGTGAACATGTTGTGCAGTGCATTTAGTCCAATAGCCCAAATTTAGATATTCCTTCTCATTTTTGATTCGTTATGTCAAAATCTGGCTTTTAGTTTTAGCTTCTGAAATGATGAGAACAAGTCTTTGTCCCTTTATGGCCACATTAGAGCACATCTACTTCTGGAATCTAGTTGAGGGGTGTTCTTCCTGTGAAGACGTATTTAACCGGAGTCATTTAAAATTGAAACAAAGCATGTCAGATATCACCCTTCCTCCTGAAAGCCTTCCTCTCTGAGGACAACGACGTAGGAAGAAGAATGGTAGTTGCCATGGGAACCCAAGAAACATGCAGCGATCTTGCAGGATTTTCAGGGTCATTCGCTCTTAGAAACTTATCTCAAAATAAATAAGATAAATTTTAAATAATTTCCAAAACATAACTTTATAGATACACAATTTTATGAATACATGAATAGGTTCCTGCCCAGTATTCTGGATTTTACATCTCTCTTCGCCCTGTGTTCCTTTCACCACATCCCACAAGGCAAGTGAATCTTTGCACAAAGCTTCACCCAGCTCACAAGTGCTAGCACATTCCCATGCCCATGCCACGGAACTGCACGCTAAGGGACCCACGCGAGTGCATACACACGCGCATGCACACACACACACACACACACACACACGTGAGGTGAGGGTAAACAGTGGGCTCTCACTGTGCCCTGTCCTGGTGGCAAGAACATTTATTATTCATGACCTAAAGATTCATTTCAAGCCTAATTTGAAGTTATTAATTATGCGTCACACACGCACATTTATTTAAAAGTAATATTTTTAAATTTAAGAACCAGAAAATTTTATATCTGATGCCTTCTTTATGTCGCTTTAAATGACCCCTGCCCTTGGAACACCCCACCCTCATTATTTTTGGTCCAGAACTTCCTGGCCCATTCTTGGGCACTTTTTGCAGTCAGGCACACACTGCCGTGAAAACCCTCAGAACGCTCTCTTCACTTGGGGTGCCATGGTTCCAGCACATCCACAGCGGCTCTGGAGTCCTCTTTCCTGAGCGTCTTTAGTTGTGCCTAGACGTCCTGAACTGATGCAAAATATTTACCTTTCATAGTCATTTTGACTTTGGGAAGGGGCCAGAATTCACGTGAGGCAGGCCCTGTGAATGAGGTAGAGGGAGACACGGGGTCGTGTATTATGGGCCACCTGTATGCTGGAAATCACGCTTCAGCTGTGTGCCCTGTGTTGCTGATCACACCCCTCTTAAAGACACTGAAGAAAGTGAACTTCCAGAGCTGCTTCAGAAAGTGACAAGGAAGATGGGACAAGTGTGTTCAAATGGGGGGAGGGGGAGGTTACTGAGGAGATTAATGCTTAAGGGAAATGTGTCTTATGCTGTAATTAATTTTTTTTTTTTTTTTTTTTTTTTTTTTTTGGTGGTACCGGGGATCGAACTCACGACCTTGTGCTTGCCAGGCAGGCGCTTATGCCAGTGAGCTATATCTCCAGCCCTGTAATTAATTTAAACACTTGCCATCTCTTTGGATCACACCTGGTACTTCCAGAGTTTCTTGCTCTGAACTCCTAGAGATGTGCATTGCACAACATGTTCACAAAATGCTCTTAGCCGTTGGTACATGGTTCTGAGTAGCTAGATTTTATTTCCATTAAATAAAATCTCAGGGCATTGTCTGCACTTTCTGTTGGATTAGAGCATTGAGACTACGTAGAAGAAACAGCCACGAAGGAAGGCCCAGCGGCCATGGGTGCAGTTACCGCTGCTCACTGACAGGCAGGTGCATGTGAGGAGAAAGGAGGAAACGCACGGAACCTGGAGACACAGGCTACGGCGCTCGTACAGGGAAGGGTGGGAACAGCCTGGGCTGCTGTCTTTAAACCACGTTATTAGCGGGTGATGTGACTAGCAGTCACCGTCAGGGCTCTCACATAAAGGAGACTCCAGACAGCCAGCTCAGATGTCCCGCTGCCTTTGGCTTGGGTGGTAGAGATCTGAGACGCCCAGGGCATCCCGTGGCACCTGATTCCACAGGAGGGAGGAGTGTTTTCCTCTGGGACACCACAGGGGTCCGGCCTGCCCAGTGTCTCAGGGAACTGCAGATCCTGAGCCTCAGTTCTGGTTGAGGGGCGTCCAGGAGCTGGAGCCAGGGCCAGTGTGCTGGCGTCTACTGACGCCCCAGGTCCCTCGGGCAGAGCCAGCTCGGGCCTGAGTCAACCTGGCAGGCAGGACACTGGAGCCTGGCCAGAAGAAAGGAGGCACAAGCAAGGGGCAGAGGGACAGGAGGCGGGTGAGCAGGGGAGGATGCTGGCCGCACCTTGTGCGTGCCTGCACCCCTCACCCTCTGAGGAGGTGCGCACTGATGTCCACAGGCAGGCACTCTAACTCCCAGGGCTCCTGCAGCACCTCCTCAAACACTGTGTTGCTGTGACCCAGGAATGACTAAAAGTCAAATTCTATAGGCCATTTAAGCATGGTAGACATGGACATGCTGATGTGTGCTTGTAATCCCAGCACTCCAGGAGGCTGAGGCAGGAGCATTGCAACCTTAATGACTTAACAGGACACCAACTCTAAATAAATAAATAAATAAATAAATAATAAATAAATAAACGTGCTGGCGATGTAGTTCAGGGCCAGGGCACTGGATTCACCCTGTAGCAGTATGTTTAGAAGCAAACACAATAATAATAACTCCTCCTTTGTGGTTCACCTTAAACTGTCGACACTGGAAAGTTGCCTTTGCTGTGCACTGTCAGTCAGACCTCCCCCTTGTGCCCAGATAACCCCTGCACACACACAAAGCGCCCCAGGAGCGGTGTTCACGCTCCAGGCTCGCTTCTTCTCGCAGCGGTGCCGTAGGTCACCTGCTCCCCAGCAGGCAGCAGTCTGGCAGAGGCTCCTCTACCTTGAGCTGGGGAGGGTGGGATCCAGTTACCCCATCGCCCGTAGCTGCCTGGGTTGTGGCTCCGCTCCATGTGCTGAGCCCCTGAGAGTCTGAACATCATCAAAGCTTAGTGCAGTTGTTTCTGCGTCTTTCCATCCTGCAGGAGGCCGTGGGCAGCCTGATCATACTGCAGCAACGGCATGAGCCCTCCAGGACGCTGCTCTGTGTGTTGATTTTGAATAACCACTTTAGAAGGAATTGCAAGATAAATAAAGGGAATCCTCCAATGTGAGGAAGTTTTCCACTTACTTATGGAGCGTTACTTAGAAAGGCTTTTAGAAAATTTGTAAATAGGATCTGAAGCTAGAATAAGCATGAGATATAAATATAATTAATTCATACATTGTGTTATTTACAAATGCATGGTATAGATACATGAGTGTACTTGGGGTGCACATACAACACATACAGGTTCATTTTCTGAGATGCAGTGATCTGTTTATGACCAGGGAAAGTGGTCAAAGTTTATGATGATGGACATAACAGTGCTAGCCAGAACACACACGCTTACACGCACACTTACACACATGCTCTCTCCCTTCTCACTCTCTCTCTCTCTCTCTCTCTCTCACACACACACACACACACAAACACACACATAGGGAAGAGAGGAGCAAGAATTTTTCAAGGGCCTGGGTTTTAAGTCTCAGTAAATATTTGACCTGATTTGCTAGCTCTCCTGCCTGTTTCCTCGCCTGCAGGAAGGCTGTAACCTCCAACCTGAAGCTGGGAGGCTGTGGAAGGTGACAGCCTGGCAGTGCGTCCCATAACTGACACCCAGCAAACATCCACTCTTTCCTTGACTAAACTGTTATTCAGATTGCTAACTAACGCAGAAGCCAACTTCGTTATATTAAATGCACATTCCTGTAGCTATGCAAGGGTTAGGTTCAAAGTAATCAGCCTCCTCTGTTTGCCAACAGCACATTTACGGTCACTTGTTTTACAAAGGTCAAATGCAAAGAAGCATGTTTGCATCATTTCTGTGAATAATTCCTACTCACTTTAAATTTCAATTAAGAAACAATTGGAATAGAATCTAAATGTACTCCTAGTTCCCGTTAAATCCTGTCCTGGTGAGTGGACCAGGCCTCTTATCCTAGCACTCTGGGAGGCTGAAACAGGAGGGTTGGCAAGTTAGCAGCACCCTGTCTCAGGATAAAACATGAAAAGGGATGGGAATTAACTCGATGAGAAGGCCCTGGGTTCAATCTTCGGCACCACAGAAAATAAAAACAAAATAAAATCTGTTGACCTTTGCTTTTCCTTATGTTGTCTAAGTGGATCAGGCAGGCAAGCAGGAATGCCCCGAAGAGAACCCAGAGTCCTTGAGCAGGTTCCCGCAGACAGAGTTCCTGTGCTCAGGACTGACTGCATCTCCTGCAGAGCTCTGGTCGCCTTCAGGCCCCGGCTCCCTGGACGTCCCTGGGGCCTTTCTCACTCCCTGGCTGGGATTCCATGGCTGGCCTGCCTTTCTAAGGTGTCCTCCAGTTCACCACTGCAATCGTACCAGGCGCATCTTCCCCACCTCCCCTCCGGCCCCAACAACTTGCAATGCTGAGGAGCCCAAGGCCGCACATTCCCAGCTCAGCACCAGTACCCAAAACCGAACCACAGACAGGAGCAGAGCAGCAGTGTCTTCACTTTTACATGTATAGAACTCTAGGTTTAAAGACCTATGCCCTGAATTCTATCAGTATTTGTCTCTTTTGTAACTGCAAATTCTGTATGGGAAAAGGTCATAATAAGTTCTAAATTTCATTATAAATGCTACTGATTAGAATTATGTGTGTGTGTGTATATATATATATATATATATATATATGCATAATTGTAATTCCCGTTACTATTGTCCACTGCAAGGAATGGACTTGCATTGTCCTTGCATTCCAGTGCAAGGAATATATAGCTGTTTGGTCATCACAGGAAACCCCTAGAAGATATTCAATGATTTAGGTGATTTTTCCACACACTGGATGTCTTAGTTACTCTCTTCATTGGTGAGACACGAGACCCAGCGCCTTCAACTTCAAGAAGGAAAGAATTATTTTGGCTCACAGTTTGTGGAGGGATAGTCCATAGTCAACTGACTGCAAGGCAGGGTGGCATGGAAGAGGGGCATGGTGGGGGAGACACAGTCCATGGAAGGGTCCTGGAAAGCAGAAAGCAATCTGAGGAGCAGGCGTCAGTGCCTTTGAAATTTATGAGATAAAGGCAGTCACCTCTTGTGCATGGAAATGAACCCTTGTTAGTATTTGGGAACTCAGAACGATAGCTTAAGAAAAATTCTTAGGAAAAATAAAGCTCTATTTTTTTAACTTTGGTTCCTCCCTTTGTTCAGCCTAGTCCTTTGAAAGCGACACTCAGGTAGCTTCATTGGCTTTGCCAGTGCCAACCACTGTAGCGTTAAGGGAATCTTCCTCCTGAGTGTAAACCTTGAACCCTCTGCCAACGCTGAAAAATCACTGAGCGTTTAGGAGTCCCCAGAACTCCTCTGAGGTGTGATGGCTGGCTGCAAGGACTCAGAGAGCTTTTGGGAAGGTTATGATGCAGTCATGTTCTGTACAAGAAAATAGAGGTAGCCATGCGGTAGAGCCTGGGAAGGACCCAGGCTCAGCACAGAACTTGAGTGCTCTTGAGGGCTGCAAGCTGCTAAGGGCCAATTCTCCTGCACTGGTGTCCAGAGCTCCTCATGAATGGCAATAATGAGCTCAGTCACTGCCTCCACAGTGACCTCAACCTCCAGCTGCCCCCATCCTGTAGGAGGTACAGAAGTCTCCTTGCCCCAGAGCCCACCGTGAGTAACCCAGACACCCCTGATGCTCAGGAGGTTCCAGCTGGAGCCTTCTTGGGGCTGAGCTCTGTACCGAGCATTGCTGAACAGTGGTTTCCCCGTCCACTTGGGCTGCATGACCTCTGGGGTCGTGCTTTACTGTACTGACAAGGAAACATGGCTGTTCAGTGCTGATAATATTTCTGAAATCTCTGATTTTGTGTTTCATGTATTTTACTTAAGGATGGAAAGTGTATTTATAAGTCACATCGCTCAAACTCTTTGGAGTAATGATCAATAATAATACTCCAGAGATCATGAGAGGGTATTTAATAGCCTAAATAATGGAAATATTGTAAGATTTTTTATTATTCTGGATCAGAATTCATGTTCTGAACTTTATCAAGGGAGTGATACACACTGGGAGCAAGCCTTCGTTTACGCGCATGTATAAACATTACTGTGTCATTCTCTTCCTTTTTTCTCAGTTTGATCATCTCTTAAAATATGTGCTCTTCTAGAACGAGAAATGTGAAACAGAAAAGAAATTCTTGCAGCGACATGATCTAATTTCTTAACTTCACATTGCGCTTTTCTTCATGTATTTTAGCTCAGGTTAATTATAGGCATTTCCAAAGTGGCTGACTTAGGTACAGATTCTTAAATTGTATGGATTTAAGAAATGCAATTTTAAAAAGTCAGCTGTAGTGTAATTTTAAATTGCATTATGTGTGTCTGTATTTAAGTGTATGTATGCAAATATATGAACGTTATACAGTATGATCACCAAAATCTAACAGGAACGTCAAGTATGGAAAAGAAAGAAAGGAAATGATGGAGATTAAAAAATAAAGAGGAAAAATCTTGGACCGTAATAGTTCCTTGATTTCACATTGAAAACAGTGAAATTCACAGAAGTCAGTGAGTTTTTCAGGGTTGCATTTCTGAGAGACAGGCTGGCAAACTGGGTAACAATACAGCTCCCCCTGCTTTGAAACACAGGGTCACCTACTTGAACTTGCATGGCTCCTTGCATTAATGGAATGCTGGATATTCAGCAGTACATTTCATAATGGGTTATTTCCATTGTCGTCTTCCCGGTTCGTTGTGCCTGTGAAGCGGATAGGGCTTGATAGCACGGGCTTGTCCTTTCTTTTCCGTTAACCTGGAAGCTCCTCCTGTGCTGTGTTTGCACTGTGCATCTAGGTGTGACCCTCGAGTCAGACTCCTGCCTCGACCCGGGCATCCCTGTGAACGGCCATCGGCACGGCAGTAACTTCGGCATCCGGTCCACGGTGACCTTCAGCTGTGACCCCGGGTACACCCTGAGTGACGAGGAGCCCCTGGTCTGCGAGAGGAACCACCAGTGGAATCATGCATTGCCCAGCTGTGACGGTAGGTGGCGCTCACCGCGCAGGCGCTGTAGAGAGATGCAGAGTGCAGACTTACGCCTCCAGGTGCTGCAGATCTCCGAGAGTGATTTCTCTGAGCAGCTGTAGGACCTAAAGTTTTGCACTCCTGAAGTTTGCCCACCATATTTTCTCTACTATGTAGAGCAACTATTTAGAAATAGGGCTGTCCAATGCCCTGTCTGGGCCTGGCACCCCACTTCCTCAGCTCTGTCATGTTTGCATTGCTGTGCATGGCATTCCCTGCAGATGGGCCAGCGACAGAGTGAGTTCGCAGATCCCAGAGGCCGGGCCCAGTTTTCCTCCCGTGCAGATGGAAGTGAGGCCCTTCCTTTACGTCCACTCAGCCTGCCTCGCGACCCTTGCCTCCTCGGGGGCACCACCTGGTTCCCCAGCTCTTGCAGCCCCTGTGTCCTTTGGTGCTGGCCGCCGCCCCATGTTCTGGCGTGGATCCACTCCTGGAAGCCTCAGAGCTGCGCAGCATTCTCGCGTGGAGGCTGACTGTGCACCCCCTAACCTCACACTAAAAGATAAATGTTATTTATATCATTTGCAAGAAAACTTTGCGCATTCTGCCTTTAGTCCGGAAAACAATCCCATCACCGTAAAACTGTTTCCATGGAAAGTATGCGTAGGTACGTGGAAGCTGAATGTCTAAATGGAAATTTCCATCTGCTGCAGTGGTATAGAGTGCAAGCATTTCTTTTCAAGCATTGTGTGTGCATTTATTAAACACCTTGACTTCTTTGAGAATGCACGCACATGAGGGGGTTTCTGTAAGAGCAACCTCAGCCACAAACCACTGAAATCCTTCCCCTCTGCCACCGAGCGTCCTCTGAGCGATAATCGGCATCTCCACGGTGCAGGCAGGCAGCGCAGCTTGGCTGAAGGCGGGAGGATCCAGAGCACCAGAACGGGGACGTGGGGACGCTGGGCTCTGGGCAGCAGTGAGGAGCAGCCAGCTCTGTGCGTGCAGGGCCAGTGGTCCGCGGGTGCAGAGGAGGGCAGCAGAGGTGGCCCTGAGCACACAAGGCAGGAAGCGCACTGGCTGTTCCTGCCTGCTTGGTGGCGACATGGAAGATCTTCCCCCTGTGAGGAGCCAGCTGAAGCATTCTCCTTCCCCCGCTGTGGATCACACTGCTAGAATCACCTGGTCCCATATCAAGTCCACTGCCCAGGGAAGAGGCAGAGGCAAGTGTCCCAAGACAAAACGCAGATCAGATCGACCAGGCAATGTGGCCTCCCACCTGTGAGGGTGTCTGCCCCCCAAGGACAGACAAGGGTGTCTGACAGACAAGTGCAGCTGAGGGTGGGAGGGAGGAGCCGTGTCCACCAATGGTGGGAGTGGCAGGCAGTCCCATGCCCCTGGGATGTGGCTTGGAGTCCTTGGGGCAGAGCAACTACACTGAGAGATGATCCAGTAATCCCACTGCTCACCACTGGTGTCCAAGGAAAGGACAGCGGCGTGCTGAGGGCACACCTGCACTCAGTGTCCATCGCAGCACTGTTCTCAGTAGCGCCCATGGGTCCACCAGCAGACCCAGGAATAAGGACAGCGTGGTGCGTACACAGGGGGATGCCACTCAGCAGCGAAAGAACAGAATCCTCACATCCAGGGGTGGTGGCCCATGCCTGTAACCCCTGCACTGTGAGGCTGTGGCAGCAGGATCACTGCCAGATCAAGGCCAGCTTGGACTACACTTTACTCTCTGAAAAAAAAAAGAGGAGCAGAATCCTGCCACTTTTAGCAGCGTGGATGAGCCTGCCAGACATTACATCGAGTGCCATGAGCCAGGCCCAGAAAGCCAGGCCCACAGCAGCTCAGCTGGGTGTGGAATCTGGAGTAGAGAGTGGAGTAGTGGCCCCCAGGGGCTGGAGGTGGGGAAGGTAGCGGACGAGGGGACGCTCTGTGGGTCTGAAGTTAGAGCACGACAAGAGGAAGAGACCCAGGCACAGCTGCAGAGCGGGATGCCCACAGTAACAGCACTGCAGGGAATGTCTCAAGATAGCCAGAAGACGGGATTTTCCATGTTCTTCCCTCACTCCGATAAACGTTTGAGGCAATGGATATGCTAAATAGCTTTATTTGATCATGACACAATGCTTGCATGTATCAAAACATCACGATGTTCCCTATAAGTAGGCAAAATTAGTTCGTGCCAAGAAAGCAAACTTAAGAAAACTTCAACAAAATTTTATAAGACCTGAGAATATCACATAGCATATGCAAATACTTGCCATTTTTATGGTTCTATACTGAAACCAACTCTAACAATGCTGTTCAGATGCTTCAGTTCAGCTACACATGAGCTAAAATGCTTCTAAGTTCATGTATGACTGAAGGTGAGTCACAGTATTTTATCGAATTTTCTAAAACTTGCTATAAAACAAGCTAGTCACATGGAAAATGGCATTAACTGTCCACTTACACGCCGGCCACAGGGCTTTACTAAATGCCGATGTGTTGGTAATAGCTTTTTCCTTTCCCAAGCGTGGCACTACAGATAAAGTGGGATTTGGAACTGAGCACGGAGCAGCTGCTGCCCCTGCGTGTGTTTTCCTTCGGCTTGGGCAGGTGACTGGGACCCGCACAGAGCTCCCGTCCCCAGCTCGGGCTGCCGGCCTCTCAGTCCTGCGGTGGAGGCAGACCAGGGGAAGCCCTCTGATCCCGCCTGAGCCATGCATCACCTAGTTCACCTGAGGATGACTCTCACCTGTCCTGGCCCTCCATTTAGTAATGAAAAGAGATTAACGCAAGTGAGAGACTTTGCCTGAAGCACCTGCGACTGCTGCTCTCAAGTTTGAACTGGTTTTTCTCCATGCATAACTAGGTTACGTGATGCTGTGCATTAAATACTGCCCGTGAGTTAGCAAATCATATCGGTCACTTCATATTTGCAGTATTTTAGTATCGACTCGGACTGTTCTCTACCTCTGCCCAGCACAGCGCTGCCTTCCCCTTCCTTCCCTTGAACCGTCACGTGAGGATTCACTTCCCTCAGTGTGCTTCCTTCCATCCTTCTCGGCCTGTAGGCAGGCTGCCCTCAGCCTAAGCCAGGATCCTCCCACCCATGCCCCAGGCTCTAGCCTGGCACCTTCCCTGACCTCCATTTCTCCCAATATGCAGCTCTCCCAATATGGCTTATCTTTCACATTCTCAGTTCTGGCTGTAGAAGAGAAATGTTTGCAAATAGAAGCAAAATTTTGAGGAATGCTTTTAATTTTTTGCAAGCTGAATTGTTTGCAAACAGAAGCATTTGCGAACTGAGGTGTTACTGTATCGTCTTCCAATTTAAATTTATGGAAATTTGAAATTTAAATGATATAAGGGAATGGGTAACATAATTATTAGTTTTACTACAGTGGAGCAGGTTTCAGAAATGATGAATTTGTACTAAAGGTTATTAATAAATCTTCTAATTCCAGGACATGTTAGAGCTTGACATGAGAGTTTTAGCCCGTCATGGTTGATTGTTTTCATTTAACTCAAAGAATTGCTCTCTTAGCCCTTTCGAATCTCAGACAATCTCTCAAAGCCTGTGGGGTTTCACTGCAACAAACCACGCATCAATAGGCTAGTTAAACATTTAAAAATTCATGGCTTTTAGGAAGAAAAATAAAGCAGGAGAACTTTGAATATTTTACATCACTATGAGAAAAGATGACCCTCGCAGGATCCTTTACATCTCTGTGGTGCTGCTACAGTTCAGTTTTAACGCATCCTCTTCACGGGCCCAGGCCCTGGAGATCCAAAGCTCATGGTGCCTCCTGACCCTGCTCTGCGTTGGTGAGGGCCCGGACAGGGGCAACTCTGAGGACTTGCTTCCGTTCTGTAGGAACATCTGGGAACGGCTCACTCTTTCACAATCATGTATCCAAATACTACCATATCTGCACCCCCACAGTGGAAAAGTTAGCTTATCAGCATAGGGAAGGAAAGGCATTCATTAAATCGCTTAAAGAAATAAGTGCTTTATTAGACAGAGGAAAAATGGCTGAGGGTAAGGAAATGAAAACTTTACTTTCCGAAGGTAAAATTCAGAAAGTGCCAGTGTGGGATCTTGCAGCCTGCGAGGTCAGAGTCAGGGAGATAGCCAGCGCGAGGGCTGGAGAAGGGAGGTGTGGGCGCAGGAGGGGCGCAGGAAGTGAGCCCCTCCTGGGGATGTGGGCAGAGGTTTCAGGGCTTCGAAGCTGGTCTCCTGTGCAGGGCCAGTGTCCCAGGGAGCTCGGGTTGTGCGTCTGATCTGGTCTCTGGGCTCTTTTGAGGGGTCTGAGATGAGGAGGGACTAGACCCGGAGTCCCTCCTCTGCTGCCCCGGCAACCATCTCCTATCACAGGGCTCCACACTCCTTTAGCGGAAGCGACCTCAAGGTCAGTAAATGCTTAAATGCATGAGTACAGTCGGTGACTCCTGCGCCACGGAGAGATGGAGAGGTTCCTCGCGACATTCTGCTCCGAGAAGAGTTGTCTTCATAGTTTATGGCAAAAAGAAAGAAGAAAAAGGGAACGATGGATGAAAAGAGAAAAGAAAGGAACCAGACACAAGACACTGTGATCTCTTCCAAGAAGAAGTGTGCAGGACCTCTGCGGTGGGACAGAATGGGCCAGAAAGGCTGCAGTTGAAGAAGTGGAGCTGGAGAACGGACAGACGCCTGGGTGAGGCGTGCCATGGCTCCAGGAGGGACAGCTGACACCACGAGCGCATCCTCATCCAGCGGCAGTGGAAACCCTGACTGGGTGCAAGCAAGAGACTGCACCGAAAACGGGCCCAGAAGACCTCCCATGTGAAGTAAGAGGGGTGCAGTCACGTTGGGGATGAGCGCTACCTTGCCAGGAGAGAGGCGAGCCTGATGTGGGTGACTCCTCCTCTCCCAGGGCTGCTGACCTCATGGACAGCGGCTTGCCTGTGACAGGCTCCACCCTCAGCCCTCCCTTTCTCTGGTCCAGGAGAGTGGATGCTTAGTCACCCACTTGTTAAACCCTTTAACCCAGCTTCCTGGGCCGTAACAACTGGCTGTAATTTCACTTCATTAGAAGACTGGGCAGCTTCCGAGGTGACAGGCTAAAGGAGGTGGGAGGACAGCGGGCTTCTGGTAATTCCAGCATGCGGAGATGGCCTTCCGGCTCCTGTGGAACCCGGGAACCTCAGGGTGAAGGGACTGAGGATGGACGGAGGGCACTGGATTAACACGGAGTTGGTCCTCATCTTCTGTGCTCCTGGCAGCCCCTTACCCTGCACTCAGCACTTACCACCCTGCCAGTGGACAGCATGGCGCCCACCCGCTCCGCTGCCTGCAGTCTACCCCACCCCCTCCCCATGATGTCCCTGTCTGTCTGTTTTGAGTACATGCTGCAGGTTCCGAAAGTAAGTTAGTGTCTCCTTGGAATAAGTCATGCCTGATTATCTGAGGAGTTTTAAACAAACTATTCGCCTCTCCCACTAGATTATTAACTTCCGTATGCTGAAAACTTCCCTGTCTTATTGTTTTGTGTGCTCAAGAGCGTAAGAGAGCATTCGAAAAGTACAAGCACATCCTTCCTCCTCCTCCTACTCGGTAGGCGGTTCTGACTGCAGAGCTGCAGGCTGAACAGACCCAACCTGGGGCCCGGGGGAGCTGGGACAGCCGCTACTGAGAGCACCTGGGGGATCTCAGCTTGGGTCCCTGCTTCTCTTGTTCTAGTTTCTGCATAGTTCATCTCCACACAAAGGATTCCTATGACAGTGTATCTGGGGGTCTTGCTAGGTCAGTAATTTAAGTAGAAAAGTGAAATTCAAGAAGTTATAGCCCTAAGGAAAGCAAAAGTAAAATTTTACTGTGTCTTTAATGACTATCCAGAAAAGACTGCACAGCTTCATGTAATGCAAATTATATGCAACTAAATGTGCAGCTTTCCCCAGGGAATGGAGCCCCGCCTATGAATACAGCAAGGCCCATAGGGACACTGAAATGTAAGTTAGGGTTTCATGTTACTCACTCTTTTCCGCTCTCCAGTATGAAGTGACAATACCAACTTAATTCTCAGTATAGCAAATTCCCCTTTCATAAAAACCTGGGCTTCCCGTACCTAGTTCACTCAAAGTCTTCCTAGTGAGTGACTAGACTGTGCTGTGTTTGTGCACATCTGTACTGAGATAAGCACCGGGCTGGTCTTTCTGCAGCGTTTCTTCCAATTTCCCCCTCCATGGCTGGTTGGTGACGGGGTTCTCTGCCTTGTGTGTGTGTGGACAGAATCGTGCAGTTGAGCACAGTCCTCCCGCTCCTCCCCAGGAGACAGCCCAGCAACTGTCCTTGATGATGTCAGGACAGAGGAGGAAAGATGCTTGGATGCTTTAGACTCCTAAATGAAGCTGGATACGAACACATTTTCATCAGTTTATGTACAGATATAAACAACTTTAGATATATGGGTCTCAAATTTATACAAAATGTTTTTAAATCCTTTGGTTAAATCCTTCACAAAACTGATACCTGAACATGCTAATTTATGCTAATCCAATCATGCACAAATCAAAGTGACGAATGAGTAGTTTCTGTGTTCAGAGCAATGTTCACCCCATTTCCCTTTGCACCGTGGCCCCTCTGCTTAGGCTCCTGTGTGGATCTGCTGTCCCCTGAGGTAGTGATTCTGAGATTCCCTGTTCTCAGTCTCCCTATTGGTGTCCCTGTTCACTGCCCTGGGGACTCACCCACCCCGTCAGCCTTCCACCTGGAATCCAGGCTCCCACATGAGACGTGAGTGTCCAGCCCAGGTTTCACCACTCATTGTCCAACATCAGAGCAGAGGAACTTAAACCGTCACAAGGTGGGAGCCCCTGGCCTTTGTCTATCTGCACGGGAGCGATTTCACTTAGCATAGCGTCTTCCACTCATGTGGATGCAGTGACAGGATTCTGTTCTTTCTTAACCACCTCAGGTTATCCCATCTTCACCTGTCTCCCCCCATGGAAGAGTACAGTTGGTTGCTTCCGCTCTTGCTGTTGTGACTACTTGTACACTCAGAGTGGGAGTACAGCTTTCCCTTCAACATACCGAGTCCTTCCCTTGGATACACAACTGATACTGCTGCACTGTTTGGTAGTTCTACTTCCAGATTTTTAGGAATCAGCATACTGTTTTCATAATGGTGGTACTAGTTTACATTCCTGCAAACACGCGTGAGGGCCCTCTCTCTCCACATCTGTGCCAGCTCTGGAAACCCAAAGAAGACGTGTCCTAGGAGAAGCGAGGGCAAGAGTGGTTGCCAAAGCTGCCCAGACTGCGGGGGCTGGCGGGAGCATGTCCGGTGTCACAGGCACAGTGGGGCCGGTGTCTATCTATGGCTACAACAAGTAGTTGGAATTTCAGAATAGCCAGTGGAGAGGCTGCTGAGTGCTCCCAACAGAGGAAGTAGTGAGTGTGTGTGTGTAGGGATGGAAATGCCAGCGATCCCGATCCAATCACTGCACATGGTACTTAGGCATTGAAATATCACATTGTACCCCATAAATGGTACAGCTACTATGCATTTAAAATTAATAAATATACACAATAGAAAACCCTTAAGAGCAAAAGATATCCTTTATATTGTGTTGACAGCCTGTCACTACTTTCCCAAGGAAACTATTATGACATAATGATCTTTTCCTTCCTTCAGAAATGACTCTGAATTCCCTTCGACTGTAGCAGTTTAGCTGCTTGGGGTTCAACCTCGCTGCAGGGCTGGGGAGAAGCCCGAGTCTGCTGTGTCCACAGCCCTGTGTTTCTGAGCTGGTCCCCATTCCTGCTGCGCTTTAGATTTCACGTTGGCTGGGGCCCCGCCTGTGCCCGGCCTGTCAGATTCCGAGTAAAGTAGTCTGAGCTCTGTCTTTTTCATGAACATAACATTGGCCCCTTTGCTAGTCTCACTGCAAATTCAACGCCATTGTAAATGTTTGGCATGAGCAAGCACTGTGAGCTTTAACATGAATTATCTCTGTCACTTTAAGCCCTGTGTGGCGGCTACATCCAGGGGAAGAGTGGAACGGTCCTTTCTCCTGGGTTTCCAGACTTCTACCCCAACTCCCTCAACTGCACATGGACCATCGAAGTGTCTCATGGAAAGGGTAAGGTGATGGCGGAGGCCTCCAGTTCACAGGGTGTGGCCTGAGCGCCACAGGGAGCAGAGAAGCATTGACGTCCAGACACAAACAAGAGAAAGCACTAATGTCCTTAGGTGTATTTTAGGACTTTAATTTTCAGGGTTTTTTTTTGTTTTTTTGGTTTTTTTTTTGTTTTTTTTTTTTGGTTTTTCTCCGGTACCGGGAACCGAACTCACGACCTTGCGCTTGCCAGGCAGGCGCTTTGCCGCTGAGCTAAATCCCCAGCCCCCTAATTTTCAGTTTTAATAAGATTCTAGCAGAAAAACAATCTTTAAATTATCAGAACTACAAGCAAAATAGGTTCCCAGAGGACCGACCTGGATGCATGTAAGTAGGGACTGGAAATCAGGCATCATGGTGAGACACAAGGCCAGCAATAAATAGTAACATGTGACTACTGATGAGGAAATAAGCATCACCTACACTTCTAGTTCTTATTATACACCTGGGAAAATTTGTGTACTTGCCTTGTGTTTAAAGTTTACCCATTGTTATTCCACATAATAAATAACCGATTTTTATACAATCCAGTGATGCCTTCCTAAACAGACATTGTTGTCCCCATATTATAGGCAAGTACAGGAAAGCTGGAGAAATTATGTGTGTGCAGGGAAGGTAGTTGCTAAGTTTAGGAGAGAACTCTGTATCTTTTATACCTAGCTAAATTTTCCTTTTTAAACAAGCAATTTAGAATTTTGATCCCATAAATACTATGTAGACTTTGTCTTTTGATGTCTTTGAGCTCAGCTTAGTGCTAACCTGACCTCTTTTATTATCCATTCTGTTTTATACCATGCTGCCATGAATGTATATTAAAGATCTTGGTCATAAAGAATAAACAGATCATGAGTGACCAAGTTTTTTAATCAGCACAATATGTTTACTTAAAGGCATGTGTTCATGGTTACCTGTGCTCCTGTCAGCACAGGCATTCAGAAGCAATGCTCAGTGTGGTGTCTGAGTGGGCACAAGCGTGGTGGGTAGGTAGAACTTCACTCTTAAGAATGGTTCACCCCATCAGACCTTTGATACACTGGAGCTTCCAACTGCATTTTTGGAAGGGCAGTTTAGCACAGATGGGAGTTATTTGGTTCTTTGTCCTTCTGAGACAAATGCTCTCCCTGTGAGCCAAGGGATTATTCTTGAATGTAAGCATCATAACATCCTGACCTGCATTACCTGTGTGTCTCTATTTCCATCTACACCTGTCCTTCAACCTACATTAGCATCCACATGTGTATGGAACTACACTGAGATCCATATCTACTCCTGTACCCTCATATACACCTGTGCCTGTGTGGACGTCCATCTTTATCCCTGTGTGTCCATAGGAAATGTGTGCTCTACCTCCACCTACCTCTAACTCTCTGTTTACATTCCTCCCATCTGTGTTTACATGGACATCTATGTTTATCCAGATCCACATCTACTTCTATACCTATAGCACATATTTAGGCATTTATTTTTATTTCCTCTTTCTTCATGTCTACCACGACCTTCTTTCTATGCACTTTTTTCTCAAGCTTCAAGGTTAGAGCTACATCTTAAAATGATATTTTAGAACTTTGATACAAACCTTTGCTGTCCACATTCTGTGAGGCAGTTGACTTCAGCTCCTCTCCTGACTGCTGTCTCTGCCCGTGTGCATCGCAGGGGTGCAGATGATCTTCCACACCTTCCACCTCGAGAGCTCCCATGACTTCCTCCTCATCACCGAGGACGGCAGCTTCTCCCAGCCGGTGGCCAGGCTCACGGGCTCAGTGCTGCCTCACACCATCAAGGCTGGCTTGTTTGGAAACTTCACTGCCCAGCTGCGTTTCATCTCGGACTTTTCCATTTCCTACGAGGGCTTCAACATCACCTTTTCAGGTATGCGAGTCTGATTGTCGTTTCTCAGTTCCGGGAATAACCCCGCCTTTTCTCACGCTGGTTTCCCAATGCACGCGCTGCTAATCGGAGACAACTGCCCAGCCCTGGGCGGAGGAGCTGAGCCTACACCAGGCAGAGTGCGACGACCCCTGGGTGCCACAATGCACCATGCCTTTGTCGATTTATACGTCCTCACCCTGGACAATGTATACACAAGCCAGCTCTTCCTGAAAAGCCCACCTGGCTTATGCTTTTGGTCATCTGTGTCCTTGAGGAGGCTTCTCCCCCCCAGAGGTGACCTCAGGGCCAGCTGTCCTCTGACCCCACTGGCTCCCCCATCCAGTGGATGCAACACTGCAGGAGAGCCAGCCAGGGAAGCTGTGTGGACATAGGGCGAGGACAGGCTCTTGCTCCTGTCCTAGTCACACAGGGTGACCAAGGCCACGCCTCCACACAGTGACTCTTAATAGATTGATATTGCTGAAGGACGGATATTACATCAGACGTTATTTCCATGGGTTAAATTGCTTAATTAGTATAATTTTATGTCATAGGTAGTAATATGACTTTACAGATGAGAAACATTCACAGAACCTGAAGACACACGTGTAGGATAAATTTAATCACATGAGCAAACAGGGCATAGTGAGCAAATAGTGGTCAGGCTATGGCGTTGGCATGTGCTTTCCCACCCCATGCCAGGGCCAGAAGTGGGGAAGGCTGTGGCTCTGTGATTACTAAAGGTGTAACAATGGGGTTACCTCACATCTGTGTGTGGGACAAGCTGGAAAACCTGTTTTCCCGTCAGTCTTTGTGGCTCAGATGTGATTTAACTTCTCATGATTACTTCTGGGTGCCACAAACACATGTGACTTCCTCCACTCTCAAGGTCCTATGAATTCCTCAGCAACTCTCCATGACTCTTGGGGAAGTAGTTGCTGTAGAATTTGAGTATCCATCTCATCTCCTCCAAGCACAGCTCTTCATAGAAAGGTTGTGTTTATTCTACTTTCTCTTAGCTGGCAACTCTGCTTCTGTCTTAGACAAAACAAGAACTCAGTCATGGATCACTAACTAGTGCATGACCACTGCATCACATGAAATGAAATCCCATCGTCAGCAACACCGCTCAGGGACTTTTCTCTAATTCCCACCAGTGGCCATTTCTCTTAAACTGACTTCGCTGATGTTTCTTGCTTATCCCTGGGTAAGTGCAGCCTTGCAGGCTGGCTAGGCCTACTTCACTTCCTGGAAACTGACTGTGATGGGGAGAAATAGTGAAATTGGCCACTCCATGTATCAAATACTTAAATCTTCTTAGCACTAATACCTAAATCCCTCCCTCCAAGCACTGTCCCCTGCCGGCTCACAATTAGTGTTTCTGTGAGAAGATTACCCTCCATTGCTCTTTTGATCATGATCCAAACCGAGTTTAACCAGCACACTCTGAGGACAGAGGCGGCACCGGTGCAAATCTGTGGACCTCGCACACAGGTTTCCTCCGGAGTCGGTGTGAATTCTTTTTGCTCCGTCCCATCTGTCTCTCAGTTCGTTTGCTTTCTGTGCGCACCTGACGGTAAGTCTCTCATGACTGTCTGAGTCGCGTAGTGCAGATGTCACGGAACACCAGAGACGGGGGAGAGAGCACAGGAACTTGCTTCTCACAGGATGGGCCGACCCAAGTCAGGGTGCCGGAGTGTGGTAGGGCCTCTGTGTCTACCCTCACACAGGTCCGGAGGGGACAGGGCCTCAGTCCTCACATGGCAGAAGAGCAAACCCACCCCAGGCCCTGTCCTAACTGCAGGAATCCCACCAGGCCCCTCCCAACACGGCCCAGACAGTCGCCTTCAGATCAGAGCAGTCGTCAGAACGCAGAATGGAAACCCAGGGCTATTTTTGCATAAGTTCAGTGCTGTGAGTATAAGTTCTGTATACAAGCAAGCAACAGCAATAAGGAAACACCCTTCTAGACCTATGGAGCTCTTTGGGACAATTTTTAAAATCTGTATTGGTGTTGAAACTAAAGTACAAGCATTTGTGAACATTTATAAGAATCCTACCCACAAGCAATGGATGCGAAGCATAAAACTTGCAGAAGAAACCTCTTCATCAGGACAGGGAGCATCTTGTAAGAACCAAGTTACACTTTTGACTAAAGCAACTTCAAGGAAGATGTGTTCCTCAGACATGCTGAAAGAATAATTTCACTTGCAAGGGTTTTGCCTTGCAAATGGACAGCAGTCAGCAGTGGCGCTAACGTAATGATACTTGTTTAAGAATCCAAAAGGTGCCTGTACCTTCAGGGGATTTTTCTGATGTTCAGAAAAACCACTATTTATAGGGGTTTTTTTGTTTTTTTTTTTTTTTGTCTTTTTGAGACAGGGTCTCCCTATGCAGTTCAGGCTGGCCTTAAACTCACTTTGTAGCTCAGGCTAGCCTCGAACTCAGAGTGACCCTCCTGCCTCAGCCTCCCCACTGCTGGGATTACAGGCATGTGTCACCATGCCCAGCCCATATGCTTCTTTGGCTGCATCTTTTCCTGTCTTCTCAAAGGCTTTGTCAGAGCAGAGCCTCCCAGGCAGCGTCACTGCAGTGTTGGAGGTGATGGAGAGAGCCCCTCTGAGCTCTGGTCAGTCTCTGGGCACTCCAGTACCCCAGCTTCCCCCCGTGCTTCGCCTCCCGGGTTACCGACTTTCTGTGAGTTCACACAAGCTTTCGGGCTTTTCAAAGAGGTTGAGGACCTAGACCACTCTCCGCTCTGCTCTCCTCTCTCATTCAAGTGCGTTCTCCTCAGGCTTCCCCGAGCGACTCTTTCCATCCAGACCTGCGCTGTCTGCTGCACTCGGCCCCTGCCCTCTTCTCTGAGCACAGCACTCATCTCCCTTGTGTTTTGAGAACTACATGTGCACTGCCTCCGTCCGTTTTCCGCAGTCAGCACAGCGGGAGAGGCTTCCAGCAGAAGGAGGAGCGGCTGCTGGGGGTGCTGGCAAGTTCAAGGGTAAACAGAAGGTGGCCGCAGCTGGAAACCAAGAGGCAATGGCAGGCTGTGCGGCCACGGCTGGGTGCGTTTATGCACGGTCACACGGGGCGGGGCTGCTGACTCTGAGTGTGACATGAGGCCGCTGGAAGGGGTGAACAGAGGCTGACGTGATCAGACCTCTCCTGAGGCCCATTTCAGATGTCTGATCTCGGTGGAAACTCCCACAGTAACCCCAGCAGGAGAGGACGCAGGAGGCCCGGGTTCGGTGGGTGCCAGAGACGGGAGCCCCTTGGCCTGTCTGGATAGAGAGCGGTCGGGGCTTTCACAATGAGTAGACAAAGGTGCCATTTGAGGCAGGAAATACCAGGAATGAGGTCTGGGAGAGAAAGGAGCATTTTGCCTCTTGGAAAATTGAGGTGCATGTTCCAAAGGGACTGGTAAGAGTTTTGAGTCCTAAAAGAGGTGAAATTAGAAAAATATTGAAAGTCAACAGTGCACAGGGTCGCTGTAACGACAGGAAAGGGGCCCTGGAAAGCGAGTGCAGATGCAAGGAGAGAGGCTGAGGTGGGAGCCGGGCTCTGCATGCTGGCACAGGAGGGCGGGCACGCAGATCATCCATGGGAAGTGCGGTGGGGAGAGGAGGAGGTGGTATCATACACCTGAGAAAGGGAAGCCTCACCTGAGAGGGAGGCTGAGGGCGGAGGACTGAGGACTCTGGCTGGATTGCAGCTGGGTCACAGCAGCTCCGGGAAGGCTGTGCAGGGGAGCTTGGACAGATTGGACAGATGAAGTGGACCAGGGCCTAGAGCGGAGGGCAGAACCACGGGACACACACAGCCTTCCCACCTCTGAGAGCTAAGGTCAAGGTGACGCTGGTAGGGTGGCTGGTGACTGGGAAGTTAGGAGAGTGTTTGTGTGGTTTGATTTGTTAGTTGGCCTGCTCGCTTATCCCAGCCTCGCCATGGGTGCCCTCACACATTTGTATGCTGGTGAGAATAAGCCAAGGCGATAAACCGAGGAAGAGAAAAAGATGAATGCTAGGGGCAAACCAGCTGGAAGGAAGGCAAAGCCTCGGGGTGACACGTGGCCCTTGTGTTTGAGGCATTCATGGGATGCACACAGGACAAACACCCCACAACACCGTGACTGCCTGACAGCCAGCGCGAGGACCCTGGCCCACAACTGCGGGCGGATACACGGCACACAGCGCCCCCAAGGCTCCACCTCAGGCTCCCTATTCAGCCGGGACTTCCAGAGGTGGCTGTGAAAGGAGGACATGGGCCAAGCCAAGGACCACAGGACATTGGTGCGCTCTTTGTGCAATGCAATAAGCAAAGCATAAAAGAACATATTGCTGTCACATTTTGCAAGAGACTACAATTGTTTTTAAAGAAATCACAGAAAATATTTCATTTTAGAAGAGTATACAATGTATCCTCAGATAGAAGGAGAATCATATCAGGAAGGTATGAGATAAAATTTGCTAGATGGTGACATCTTCATTTTAGTAGAGGTTGTGTCCTTGTTTTGTGTGTGACAGGTTTTCGATGTGTTGATTTCAAGTAAATGACATTGTTAACATTCTTTCTTCTTGGGTCATGTTAAAATAAATTCAAACGTAGAAGTGTATTTCAAGAATTATCAGTTTGGATACACTAGATATCTGGAGTAAATTCTTTGTTTGAAAGAAGAGAACAGCCAGGTCAGTACTGTGAGCGTTCTTCAGAGGCTGACCTGTAGGCTGGCTGAGAGGAAAGGGTAATGTACAGAGCTCCATTTCGGGTCTGACAAACGTCCACCTGCGAGATGTGAATGAAGGATTCAGTAGACTAGAAGTGAAGCATAAACATCAGATCCCAAAATTGCTAAGAAAAGAGCATGAACTTCACATGTGCATTGCAAACACTGAATCTTAGAGTTTGGAGACCTTGAAAGCTGACACTGGACATCACAGAGGGAGAGAAAGCGTCCTTATGGAGAGTGGTGCAGCTTTGACGTTTCCCACACCACAGTCTGGACCACAGGCCTTTGTCTCCGTGCAATCAGCCTTTGAGGGGCCCGTCCCTGTTCCCTCCCCTTTCCAGGGGGAGTCTGCGCTGACGCAGTGGGGCTGCTGTAGGCATTTCAGAGAAGGGGGCTGCAAGGAGGCTCAGAGCAGATGGGCAGCTGTTCACCCACGTCCTGAGGCCGCAGTGACCAAACCCTGGGCTTTGTGGTGGGCTGGGGACCGAGGAAGCCTGAAGGAGACGGCTCCTGGGAATAAGCAGCACCCGAGGTGGCACCAGCAGGGAGCGGGGCGCCCACCTCGTGATGCGGCCCCGGCCACACCGGCCGGACACCTCTACTATAAGAATATGTCGCACTTTCTTCTTGAGTGGTCATAGAAATGTCTAGCGGTTTACCGCGTATTTTCTATGCCCGTGAGCAAAACATGCTTTATAGACAGCACATAGTTGTTGCTTTCCATGGAGGTATATTTCAGAGTCGACCCCCGCGGTGTAGTTTTTATCTCCCACGCCCCACCTTGGCTGTCACACACCTTCAAAGCCACCTAAGTGCTGACCGTGGCAACTAGAAGCAGCAACATAATTTCAAGCTCTCAGAAGGACAGTTTTGAAGAGAATCATCTCTTTACTGTGCTGCACGTGTATCTCTATATTTTAAAAATACTCATATTGACGCCACTTGTAGTAAAGCACAAAGGACAGCAGTCATGTAACAGTCTGAGCGGTCCACGTGTTTGGGTTTTCCTCTGCAGAGCAGCACCTTTGTCAGTTCCTGCCTGTGACTGCGGGGTGCTTCCCAAGTCCCCACTCACTCTGTCTCTCTGTCCCAGAGTACGACCTGGAGCCCTGCGACGACCCCGGCGTCCCCGCGTTCAGCCGCAGAATTGGCTTCCACTTCGGCGTCGGGGACACCCTCACCTTCTCCTGCTTCCCTGGCTACCGCCTGGAGGGTGCGGCCGCGCTCACGTGCCTGGGTGGGGGCCGCCGTGTGTGGAGCGCACCTCTGCCAAGGTGTGTGGGTAGGTGGTCACACGCTTCATTTCATTCATCCCGGGAGCAGGGCGGCAAGGGGGAGGCTGGCAGGAGGGGAGAGGCCCGGGGGGCCGACCAGTGCAGGCAGCGCGGGCTCTGCTAGAAGTGGGTCCCCCAGCTCTGAGCCAGCGGGAATAGAACTCAGCAGAGGCCAAGCGTGATACGAAGGGGAAGGTGTGTGTGTACTCAAATAATCTGATAATAAACAAGCTAGGGGCCAAGCTAACAACACCACCCCTGGTGACCACCTAGGTCCAAAACCTCCCTTCCTTCCTTTCTCCCTCCCTCCCTCCCTTGCTGTCTGCCTGCACTGGGGATTGAATAGAGGGTCTTTATACTGAGACACAACCCCTACAACCCCCCGTCATTTTTCCCCCTAATTTTACCTTTTTGAGACAGGTTCTCACGAAGTCACAGGTTGCATAGGCTGGGATCAAGCCTGTCACCCTTCTGCCTCAGCCACCTGAGAGCTGGGATTACAGGAGTGTGCCAGCAGTCTAGCTAGGACACCCCTAATTAGGCGCTGATAGTGGTACTGAGATGTACTAGCCAGCCTAGGTGACAGCTCAGGGTGCCACCTCTGTCTCTGTCCTCATCCCACCCAGGTCAGCCCTTGTCCCCTGAGTTCCTCAGCCCGGTCTTGGTGGGTACTCCGTTCCTCTGAGTGGCTACTCAGGCTGCGGGATGGGCTGGCCGAGTCTGCAGGGGGAAGTCTGTGAGTGGAAAGCCCCATCCACTCGTCCCTCCCACCCCTAAACACGCATCCCCCTGCCCACCCATCCTTGAAGGCTCTCAGTGGGGGAAGCAAGGGAAGCAGAGCTAGAATGCAGATGTGGCAGAGACACGTGTTCCCAGAAGCTCTGAGATAACAGTCGGGACGTGTGATGGTTAGTCACACCGCGGCGAGGAGAGGTGGGCAGGGCAGACACTGCACTAGCGAGCTGCGAGGCGCGCTGGGTGGACTCGCCCAGGTTCCACATGGCGACGTCTCCCCCACCCTGGTCTCCCACAAAACCCAGTGCAGTAGGCTCCCGCGTGGATCTGCGACATTGCCTCAGAATTCTGAGTGTAATGTCCTCTCAGACAAGGAACAGCATGGCTGCATTTTCCATCTCCAAAACGTGTAGATTAGGATCTGCTCAGCGAGTTCATCAAAAAAACGAGTGAAAGTGGAGTCTTCTTACTGAATAACTCGTTAATGGACAAATACTAGTTCTTTAATAGGACTGAAAAATCAACGCTATTTTACCTGCAGCTGTTTAATAGGATAGAAATATTTCAGTGAGGTATTAAAGCAAAATATGCGGACTGCATTTTGATTTAGGTTATATTTAGGTTAGGTGTTTTCAATGTTAGATTAAATTTATTATTATTATCATTATTTTCGCTACCAGGAATCGAACTCAGGACTTTGCACTTGCCAGGCAGGCACTGTGCCGCTGAGCTATATCCCTGGCCCTAAATTAAATTTAACTCAAATAATTTGACCAATTCTATTTAAATATTACTTTCTGTGGCAATATATAGGTTCTATATATTTATTTAATGTACTTTTTGTTCATTCTTAAGAGAGAATCTAATAATCACCTTTAAGTAAGTAAATATATATAATATAATATATGAGTTAAACATAACATTTACTTCATGTAATTTGTATATATCTTTTGTAAATGATGATAGATGAACACATTCTAAATAATACCGACTTCCTCTGTTAGGGGTGAGATTTACTGGTTTGTTTCACTGACCACAATAAACTTGGGTGAAGGGAAGAAGACTGGCTTTTCTTATCCGTCCTCCACGGCCTGGCTGTTTTCTATTTCTGTGCCATACAAATTGTGCTTCCAAAGCACAAACCTTTGTGGAGGAATTAAACTGATGGTGTCATCAAGTATCTGGTGTTTTGAAGGCTTCGCAACCACCTCCAGGACATTATAATAACCACAGGTGCACACGGGTTTTCCCGTTACGTGGAGAGACTTGTGTCTGCAGTGCAGTGTTTCTCATTCTTGGGACTGCAAAGGTGGACAGCTCTCTGCAACAGTATCTGATCCTGTCTGAGTATCAAACAGGCAGATTGCAAGGTGATATTTCCTAACCTATTCTTTGATAATAAATGTACAAGTACATTGATATCGCCAATGAAACAGCCTTCCTTTGGCTGGAGATGTAGCTCAGAGGGTGGAGTGTTTGCCTAGCATACACCAGGCTCTGGGTCTAATCCCTAGTACTGTAAATAAGAACACAGACTTTTCCTAATAGTGATTGTCGGTCAGCTCATACTGCCTCAGTGGGCTGAAGCTAGGCCTCTCCTCCTCCACCTTGTGGCCTGTGACATCCATGGGCGATGTCTGTCTGAGCAGCAGAACCAAGGCACTGGATATCTCAGGCTGTTGAGACCACCCAGAAGAATGAATAGAAAAAAATCAGTCGACACCTTTCTAACATGGTTAATTTAATTTTAATTAATGTATCTCTCTTGAAAAACTCTCAATAACTATTCCATTTTAGTTATAATTCCAGTAATTTTTTACACAAGCAAATAATTCATATTAAGAAACATTATATTCACTCACCTTAAAGCAATACAAAATGAATTATTGAAAGAACTTAAAGAGTGAAACATTTAATTGCTTTGGTAATGAAAAGTTACAATGGCTCCCTAGAATTAAGTTCAATGGACTTTTGACATTTTGAATGCTTCAATTTTGTAATTTTCTGAGCAACTGCCTTTTAATGTAGAGCATTATTTTCTCTAATTATTTCTTCCAGGATGGAGTCCCAGGACTAACTGTACTTCTCTCTGGGTCTTTGAGACATTTCAACTCTTTCCTTTGAATATTGTGTTATAGGCATTTTTGTACACTAGTAAATTTAATTTCCAAACAAATTAAGTCATGAAACAGGTTTTGCAGAGTGGGAAGATTCTGTGAAATATTAACTGAGAGGTGTTGGAAAAGTACCACGTCCCACCCTTGTGGAGTTGCGGGTTCACAAGGGCACAGACAAAGAGCCCTTGTAGATATTTAACATTTCCACAGAGGACAAACTCAACATGGCAAGGCTACAGCGCAGTGCAGCTGCGGCGCCCCGTGCTGGCTCTGCCACACCCTCCTCTGGGGCTCTGAGCAGCGCCGTGGACCTTGCTGTGCTCCTCTTCCTCCGCATGAGACAGTATTGGTTTCTGCCTCACGGAGTTGCAGTGCTTACATACCAATGCAGAATTAAAAATAAGTTCTCTCTGACGTGTAGACTGGAAGAACAATGGGCGGCCACACCCGACGGGACAGAGGACAGCTGTGCCTGGCTTGCTGCCCGGTTTCTGTGTGGACCTCCAAGGCTGCTCCTGTGGTCTTCGGGTCCTGACGTTTGCTTCCCAGCCCCTCCTGGCACCATCTGCACCCTTTGTGTTTTCCTTTGAGCCCTTAGCATCCCGTTTCCTCTTTTTACACTCCCTGTTTTCAGGACAAGCTCTCTCAGCAGCGTCCCACACTGGCTCGGGAAAATCCAAGACCACCCAGCTGGCATCTCACCTGGTCCCCACGGCGGCTCCCAGGACACTTTGTCCAGCCACTGCCATCACCTCGCATGGAGCCCTGTGTGTCCCACACCTGAGATGCCAGCTGCGTGCCCTCTCCCCAACCTCCCAGCTCTGACACGGCTCTCGGGGGGCTCTGGGGTGCTGACCTTGCTACGGTGCTGACCGAAGGGAGCACTGAGCCCAGTGGGACATCTGCCTCCACTGTCGACCTTGCCACGGAATCGGGAAAAGAGGAGGCAAGGCCACTAGTGTCCGGAGCGACAGTGTCTCCCAGATAACCACGTGGGACCCTGTGCAACTGGGAGATGGCGGAGGCCTGACCGGTGGTGTGTCACTGTCACTGATCGCCTGCCCGAAAGCCTTGGGAGGGCACAGCAGCACAAACGCTCAAGTCTTCCTCCCAGTCTGCCCTCTGCGGTGTCGCTGGCGGATGAGAATGTGGCCAGTGCTCTCGGTGCAGTGCAGCAACCAACAAGCTGCGGCTAACTGATGGTGTTTTCTGCTAAGTCCGTAAGAACACATCTGTTCCAGCACACGGAGCCTGTTACCCGCTTCATTCCTAATTGTGACCATTATTGTGGATTCTTAATGACAGATATATTCAGTGCCCACAAAAAGAGCAGTATCTTCCTGAGTTCTTGCCTTCTTATCAGATGTCACCTGTGTTTCTCCTGTGACCCTGAGAAGGAGACCTGGACTACGAATTATTCTGCACCTCAGCCTCCTTGTCCAGGACTGAGGTTTTAAAGCTGTTCAGTAAGATCACTATATTAATAATTTAATGAATGTAAATAAATTAAACTTTACACATCAGCCTTATCATGCATCTGAGTGGGCAAGTCATATCATCCCAGGACACTATGAGACCAAGGCAGGAGCATCACTATTCTGAGCCCCATCTGAGCAATTTAGAGAGACCTTGTCCCTGTCGCAAAATTCAATATATATACAAATATATTTATATAAATAGTAAAGGGTTAGGAATGTAGCTCAATGAGAAGGCCCTGGCTGAGCTCAACCCCCAATATGGCAAAAAAAAAAAAAGTAACTCTGGGTAGGTGGCTTCAGAAAAAAAATCTGAAGAGCAGCACAAAACCGAAAACCTGGTGACATGAAATCCAAGGTAAAACCATCCAACAAGAGAACAAAATCCCCAGCATGCAGCCATCCTCACCAGTATGGCAGCCCAAACAGAAACGGAAATCAAAGCCCAAGAAAGAGGACTCCTTAGCCTGAAAATTCTTTCTTTGCCACTATCAGTATATGCTAAATTTTTGATTGCCTATAATTTAAAACTTATAAAAGCCATGGCCTGACATAAAGTTGAATTTTGAATTGTTTACTTAGTTGACTATGGGCCAGTTCTGTTTTCAATAATAATCTGTAAAATTTGTGATTGGGTTCCACATTCCAATCCACAGAGTTCAATGCTCTTCTTTTATTCCTGTTAAGTTCAACACCTGCAATAATTTGAATACCCCAAGATAGACTCTGTGGAAGAGCCCATATTGTTTTACATTTTTATTTTCATTTTGTTCATTTTGTGTTTTATGTTAAAAATCCTCTGTTTCTTCAGTAAGAATAAAAGAGTAGAAATACATTCAATGAGGATACTCACTGTCCATGGATGGTCATCTGTTCCCAGAGACATGACTCATGGTAAATGTGTCTAGAATTGAAGCTGTAAAGCTGTCTCTCCTCACGGTGAGATTCTCTGCTAGTCATCAGATTACCGCAGTTGCAAGTCATGAGGCCACCTGAGAGAGAACACCTGAAAGCTTGCCTCACTCTGCAGCATAATCTATGAAATAAGTTTTAAAGAATTTTATGACTTTATAAGCATATATAAAATAATAATGGGTACTACTATACACTTTAAGAATGTATATTATTATAAAATTTCATTGCCGTTTTGTTGGGTCTCCAAGTCCCTGTGCTTCTTTCTCAATCTTCTGTCCCCGCTGCCACCCAAACCCAAGACAACCCCTGTCCCCGAGCGAGCTCCGCCCTGGCTGTCCTCTGACAGCGCCACATGAGGTCACTCATCTGCGCACGGGTCACTGTGAGCTCATCCCGGCCTCTGGCAGTTTGCTCCTCAAGGGGGCTGGGAGGTCACAGCTGGCAGCTGACCGTGTTCGTGGCCAACAAGAGAAGGGACGTTACAGAGAGTGGACAGCGTGGCTCAGAAGGGCACACAGAAGATGTCAACGGAAGTCCCGAGGCCGCCTGCGCTCAGCTGCACCCGGACGAGCGCTTTCTGTCCCTGTCCTTCACTGCAGTGGCGTTGTGCTTGTGCAGAGACTCCAACCTACATTAACACTCAATCTGCTGAATTTTAAAACACCTTTGTGCTTGGCACAGAGTGCGGCCCGTAAATGAGCGGACGGCACCCCATGGTCTCTCCCGTGGTCTCTTGGAAGACACCTCAGAGCTTGTCCCCATCAGTGGACAGCTCTCCCCCAAAACTCGTCCTGGCTGATGACACAATATCGGTGCAGGAACATGGCGTCAGTCCACCAGTGGAGCGGGCACATGGCTTTGGCCAGGGCATTTCATGAGCCAGAAGGGAGGCATGGAGAGGGGGCCTCACCTGCCAGGGTAACAGCCAGGGTGCACTGCACACACCTCCCCTTCTGGAGCTCCTCCTGGGACAGTGCACAGCTGCCCACAGGAAGAGCCCATCAGATAAAAGAAGTCAGGCTGTTGGAAATGGGGCAAATGGTATGTTTTCTGTCCAGTGGTCGAACAGTGAAAATGTCACGAATCTGTGCTTTTAAAAATGCGTTAAGGATAGACTTACACTGGTAGAAAGAGGGTGATCATAATGTTGAAATGTTTAATCTGTGAAAACCAGTAATTCCACTTTTGAATCCTCTTTTTTCAATGTTCTATTTACTTTAGCTGAATGTGGAGCAAGTGTCAAAGGCAATGAAGGAACATTACTGTCTCCAAATTTCCCGTCCAATTATGATAATAACCACGAATGTATCTATAAAATAGAGACAGAACCTGGCAAGGGGATCCACCTCCGAGCTCGGAGTTTTCAGCTGTTTGAAGGAGATACTCTGAAGGTAAAGAGCCCCTTTCCCACTGTGCTACCCTCTTTTCCTCTGCAGGAACCTGGCATCCATCCATCATCCTTCTATCACGTACCTGTCAATCATCCATGTGTCATCTATCTATTATCTATCATTTGTCTCTCATCCTATCATCTCTCCCCCATACATCCACCCACTCATATAGCTATTTATCTATCACATAGATGTGTTAGCCCAGCTTTGCTTCTATACCATGTATTCTTCTTTACTTATGTACTTGATTTGAGCTGTAATTAATGAGGCCTCACGTAATGGAGTCTGTTTGAACCTTGAAGTAGCCTTGTCTGTAATCCTAGACCTAACACCCACAAGCCGTCTATCCCAGGGAAGCTGCTCAGCGAGCCTGGCCCTCGCTCTCTTATGCATAGGAATCTGCAAGGAGACAGACCTTATTGGCTGTTTTGAGAGTTAAATAATAGAATATCTTGTTGTTCCTGGCATTGGATGTAGTCTATAAATGCAATTATTAAAGTATATGGGCCCCCCAAACAACCCCTTTCTTAGTTATTCTCAATATTTTCTAGTTTATTCTGCACTCTGAGCATTTAGAGCCAGAAGGATCTGGTGAGGTACCGGAAGTAAGTCCAGCCACTGCCACTAGAACCCCAAGCAGCACCCTTGCAGAGGAACCACTCCCAGGCAAGCCTGCACCTCACCAGGCCAGTGGGACACCAGCCTTTCTTTGGCTTGTGAAGCTCCGCTACATCCAGAAATGCCCCTGAATTCTGAGGCTTCTGACACAGGTCCCACATCATCCGTAACTATCTCAAAGAACTGGGACTTTCCAGGGTCCAGGCACAAGAAAGCGGCAGTGCAGACCCAGCCCCAGGACCCTGGGAGGGAAAGGTCGCGAGCAGCTAAGGCTGAACGCAGCTCACAAGGGCACAGCCGTGTGGTCCAGCCAGGCCTGGCTCCAGAGAGCTAAGGGGAGCTGTGTCAGGGGCACTGTCCACTCTCCCACTCCCCTGTGTGAAGCTCTAAGCTTAATCGCCTTAGGGCTTCTCAGATGCACACTTCACTCTGAGAATTCACAGAGGCACGTGGTGGGGAAACCCGCGTGCGTCCCTGTTCACCCGGAGCGCAGAACTGACACAGCGCCCAGGGCTTCTCCTGCCTCTCTGGACGTGGGGAGCACAGGTCAAGGGGGGCGGGAGTCAGAACCTCTCTGCTCTGCCACCCAGAACCCACTGCTTTTCAATGTGTAATTGGGTAGTGTGTTTCCATTCATTTTAATAGCCTTTTTGGAAGTCCATTCTGACAGCCTGCAGGACTGTAATTAAGGAGTGTTTTCCAGCCAGGAAGCTAGCACATTCGTACTAATTTACAAAAAAATTGTAAAGTTAAGCAGAAGTAGAAATTTTCTAAATTCTTTGATAACCTCCAATTTGGGGTCAATAGGGCTCTGAGGCAAATGTTTGATTCCTAACTGCCCTGCGGTGCCGGCGAGCAGGGAGAGGCTCCGTGTCGCATGTGAAAGTTGCTGGGATGGAAGGACGGAAGACTTCCTGCTCAGCTCTGCCCACAGGCCGTCTGGGCTTGTCACCCAGGCTGTTGTCAGAGGTTATTGTTTTAAAAAAAAAAAAAAATCCCTGCTTGATTGGAACTGTGGTTTCCTTCAACGTGTCCAGGGTGCTGACATCCAGGGTAATACAGGATTATGTCCAGAGGACGTACAACAGCCAGCAAGGTAAACCAGCCTCCCGCTGTCCATGTTCAGTTGCAGGGAAACTGTCCCTCACATAAAATGCCCAGGCCTTTCACTGGGGTAGATTTGGTTGAATGAACTAATAAACATCTCACTGTTAAACATATTTCAAGTTACACTGCCATACTCTGAGGGCCAAAGGCCGTCTGCATTGCTCCTGCGTGTGTCCTGAGGTCCCCTGTGATAGACTCGGGACTCACAGGAGCCCGTCCCTGCGGTGACACAGATGTAAATGACAAAGGGAGGAGAAGCTGTAGGCAAAGGCTGCCAAGGGCTGAGCTGGGCACAGACTCTGGTCTCCTGGAACCTACTGGAAACTTCCCCGGAATGCTCAGCCAGCCCTGTGGGACTCCCGGAGAGTTTTCTAATCTGACCACCCACTCACTCCTACGGAGCAGGTGGCTCAGGGTGGCTTCCCTAAGAACTGAGGGGGCTCAGAGATGAGGGGTCCCCAGGAGACACCTGCAGATTGTGCGGCCTGTGGTGAAGTCAGCTGCAATGGAGACCCAAGCCCCTGGCTTGCCCTGCTGCCCGGCTCTGCTCCTTGGCCAGTGCAAACCTCAAGCCCATGCAACAGCTGCAGAGTGGCCACAAGCGCTGCACCCTCATGCTGGGTAGGTGACCATCCTGGGAAGCCCATGGTCACGCCAGGTGCTGGCAGTGTGTGTAAAGGAGAACGGGCTGGTCTGGGGAGGAGAACCATTCCGCAATGGCGCTGCTCATTTTTGATGGTGAGACTGAGGCGTCTGACCCTGTGACCCATAAGTGATGAGGACACCCATCCACCCTGTGGAGAGCAGGCGCGGAGGGGCCGCTCCAGGGCTGCACGGTGGCCTCTTCTGTTTCCCCGCCCACCTGTCTCAGGGGATTCTAGGAATCACACAGAAATGCGTGGCACAGGGAGAGGCCCTGGCCTTTGTGGGGACCTGGCATTTCCCTTTGGAACCAACATCCTCTGGACGTAATCCTGTATTACCTTGGATGTCAGCACCCAGGACACGCTGAAGGAAACCACAGTTCCAATCAAGCAGGGATTTTCTTTTAAAAAAAAAAAACAATAACCTCTGACAACAGCCTTTCAGGAAGGAAATTAGAGGGTATTTTCTTCTGCTCCACTAGCATGTGCTCATCTAATTTCAATGAAATAAGTACAGCATCCATGTGAATGCGTTTCCTTCTCTGTGGGTGCACGGGGGTGCGTCTGTCTGAGGGACGTGTGTGCCTCACACGCTGATGGAGGACAGGGTTGGGCAGCGAGGGCCCCCTTGTGAGCAGGAGGGTAGGAGCCACAGAGGACTTTGGTGACCTTTGTTTAGTCAAGTCTCTTTTAGCAAGAAAAACTGGGTGTTCTTCATTACACCATGATGCATTTTAATTAATTTTAAAAGCCCTTTTCTGCATGGTGGTTTTCTTGATAGCTGCTCCACCTGCCCTGAAATACAGGAGCCTGCAGCACAGCCAGCAGGACAGGACATCCACGTCCTTAAATCAGAGGGGTTGGCAGCAGAGAGAGCACTGTGGGGTGAGGGGGTCCCAGCCCCTTGCAGTGGGACCCGGCCTGCACCGCCCGAGTTGTGCCTGGCCACCTCGAGGTGAGATCATGTAACCCAGCGCCTGCTCAGAACCAGGCCCACCAGTGGGTGTCCCCTGGAGTTTCCTGGCCACCCTGGACACTAACACAGAGCTGCACATGCATATGTTTAAGTTTACTTGGAAAGAGCCCTCGGAGAGTGACTATAACATGAGCACAGACGGGCTCCTGTCTGTAGCATTAATAGTAGAAGTAAAGCTTAGCGAAAATAGGTGGTTTAACTGTCAGCCGTTGGCTTCCACACCTTTTGACTGTTTAACATGCTGTGGGAAGCTACATCTTTGAGCATGTGAACTTTTTGTTAAATCGCCACCGAAAGAGTTCAATTAAGGAGCAGCGGGACTCATACTATGAATTTTCATTAGGTTTACGATGGAAAAGACAGCTCATCACGTCCACTGGGAACCTTCACTAAAAACGAGCTGATGGGGCTCACCCTCAACAGCACCTCCAACCACCTGTGGCTGGAGTTCAACACCAACAGCTCGGACACGGACCGCGGCTTCCAGCTGACCTACACCAGTAAGCAGGGCGCGCGACCTGGGCCCCGGCCTGCAGCCACGTGATAATTTGATGTGCAGATTTTCCTTTCTGTGTTCTGAATCAGACTTTAACCACACACAGTCAACCAAACAGTAAATTCAGACACATTAGGAGAAGCAGTATTTTGAAATGAATCCATTTAGATGTATTCACATTTTAATAATCAAAGAATTGGACCTGAAAATAAATCTCATGATTTGAAGGGCAGCTGAGATGGAAAAAATTGATTATGAAATCGCATTCACTGTCAAAAGCTCATAGACACAGGTATGAAAGGTGCATGGTGAATGTTTAATATAACTAGTAGCAGTATGTAAATGACATATTGCAGATGTATAAATAATCACATAGCTATATGGATATACACAGAAGGTGTAACTACTGAAAGTACTGAACTCTTTTTAATCACAACTAATTTCCCAGATGGAAGAATGAACGTGAGCACTTGGTTATTCCCCCAATGTAGCAGCTGGCGGGTTGGAAGAGCCGGGCCTGGATCTGCAGCTCGCAGCTTTGAGTAGCGTTCTATTTTGCTACCAAAATATTATATATAAATATTATAATAACATAAATCAATATGACAATGTAGGGACAGAACTGAAAAAAGCCAAGAGAGAGGGAAAACCAAGGAGCAGTTATGCTTTCAAAAAGATGAATTCGCAGTATAATAACTGCTACTTATAATACGTTTGGTTATGAAGTTAAAAATAACTTGGTAACTAAAGGTAACTAATCCGTTACAATGCTTAAAATATATGGAAAAATCCATTACTAATCTGATGATTTCAGAACTGTGTGATTTGGACACCAGGATAAAGGAAATTAAAAGCTTTGATTTCTAGATATTGTGTGATTGACCCTTAGAGCCGACACCTTTATTTGACAGGTGAGTGAGTCGAGTCTGGAAAGACAATCAACACCCAGCACTCTGGGCCAATCCAGCTGCCTAAGAGGAAGGGTTGTGGCCTCAGTCCCCTTAGGAGGAGAAATCACAAAAGAAGAGTATTGAAACTTTGAACAAAAAATAGAATTAGAGTGGCTGATGTTCTAAGAAAACCAACTTTTTACTTTCGTGATAACACCATTGCAAAGACTCAGTCAATAGAAACCCTCTTAATTGCCTTGTATGCATGCTAAGTCAGTAACAATGGATAGTGCAGGATAAATTTACAATTGTAGTTTTTCTTTAGGAGAATTCCTCTTCTCAGAATTTCTCTCTCAGAAACATTGTGAAGAGCGCTTGTAAAATGACTTTGCTGCGCTTGCCGAGCGAGATACGGGACACCGAGACCCTCCCTCCCGCGTCACGGCTTGCCTCCACGCATGCAGCATGGCTTGTCTTGGATGTGGCAGCGCCCACCTGCTTGCTCCTACATTAATGTTAGAGGAACATAGCTACTAGAGAAGGAAATCCCTTTGGGGTGTTGTGATCTAGTGTACAAGGCTCTGTGCACACCTAGCGTGCTCCTTTCATCCTTCTGCCACAAACCCTTCTCTGATGCCTTCACTTGGGCTGCAGAGCATGCTCTCTGCCATGGTTCCCACCAATTCAGAAAGCTCTGGCTGACTGCCTCCCTCCTTGTTTCCAGTATTTCCCCTGCAAGCTCACCCCACACAGCCTGGCCTGGGGCTCAGGGAGCTACCCCCGCCCCGGCCCAGCTGCGCCATAGAGAAAACCTCATGCCCAGCCTGGTCACTTCCAACCCTGGCAACCGGCCCGGTTTTCTTTCGTCCTACTTCCAGTAGGACTCACTCTTGACTTCTGCACACTTGGTCCTCTATTCTCATGGGTGGGCCGAGGCATCAGGAAGGAGACCCAGGCGCACTGGAATCTGTAGGGACGGGTTTCTGGATGGCGAGGGGCCCTGGCATGCCCATGCCCATGCCCATGCCCATGCTGGTGACTAAGCAGCAGGCAGAAGGGTCCGTATATTCTTACCCCGTGTGACTAGATAGAGAGTGCAGGCCGCAGAGGCGCCCCCCTGTTGTGTTCCACCACCCCCGCCCTCCCTCGCTCTTCGCAGCCCTGAAGGGCCCCGCTGGCTGTGGAGGCCCGGTGTTCCCCTTGGCAGCGGCACAGGCTGAGGAGGTTTGCCCGGCCCTGACTTCACTGAGTAAACTGAGAAAGCTCGAGTCTGCGGGTGTTCCCTGGCATGTTTCAGTTCTACACACGTGTTTGATTGCACAGAAGCACAGGATTTCTGAAACTAGAGGGAAGAAATATTGGCATCAAATGGCGTTTGGTTCCCAGTGCAATCAGAGCGGCGCCCCTCTCTCTGCCTGTAGCAGCCCTGACTCCTCAGAGCCTTGCAGCAAATTGTCGTAGAGGCGGATGGGATTGCAGCAAGAGACGTCTACATTATGGGTAAATGGTGCTGATGCCTATAGCATCAAAGCAGCATTAACTTTGTATTAAATTCTTAGGTTTAAGTGACAAGTATTAGCTTAAGAAATCCCAAGCTCCCACATGTGATCAAATGCATGAATAGAATATTCATCCCTAAAATGTGTACCAGAAAATAATGATGATAACCATGGCCCAAAGACTTGTAATTGCTTCTTGCTGGTTAATTACATTACTTAAGGAAACATTAGTGTTTGAGTGTTTCGGGTCCATAGTTAATGTAAACACCTGAATAGGTTGGACAATGTTGACAGAAAAATATACATATATGGATATGGATATGGATATGTGGATATATATATGTGTACCTTGGTTGCCAACTCGATTTGCTCTGTGATCTCAGAAAAGACGGCTATGTTTGTGTGTCTGGGAAGATAGCCGTGGTCAAGTTTGTCATCTGATGTAGAGTTTGCAAACAAAAATAAAATTTTGCTGTGTTCTTGTTTGCAAACCAAAATGTTTGGCAATCAAAATCATTAGTGAACCAAGGTACCACTGTATATCTTAGTAAACATGCTACAGATCTTGTAAATAGGAGCAAACATACTTTTCATCCTTTAACTTTTAAAGCAAACTCTTAGATACCTCCTAATGGTACCGCTTTGACAGCGCTGCCTCTGGGCAAGCAGCTCCTTTTACTCTTCCCCATCCGTGAGAAACTAGCTAAATAACATGCCCAAGTGTCACCCAGGGATAATGTGGCTGTGACCTTGCTGGGCACTAGATCCAGAGTCCGTCCTGGAAACAGGAAGGGCGAGGCTCGAGGGAGGAGCACCCGGCTGTCACAGGCACAAGAGGGATGCCGAGGGCCACTGGGCTGTGAAACCGTGGTCCTGGGCAGCCTGTGAGGCTGGCGGCCCGCACGGAGCACACACAGACGCCTGCTCATACGCAGGGTACAGGAGACCTGGGAAACCCAGGGAGGCTCAACGATAGAATTTGGAGCAAAGAAGGACGGTGCCCAGAGCTGCCTGCTTCTCTACCCCTGGCCCACCATCCTCCTGTCCTCCTGTCATCCTAATGGATGGGTATGCACTGGATGGCTTCACATGGGCCAACCACTCTGAGAACAGGACCACATACCCTGGGCGTGGGAAATTAAAACCTGGAGCGCTGGGCATCAGCAGGTGTCAGGTGGCTTTATGAACGTGCTGAGAGAATTAAAAACAGCACCAAGGATAAATCCACCACTGTGAATGACGGACAGACTCGGCGAGGAGGTACCCTGGCGGCCCAAAGGAGAGAAGGAGTGTGATCACATCTGAGCTTCAAAACAGGGCAGAACTACTAGGAGCATGAAATGCGGTGGCCTGGCGCAGCTGAGGACTGAAAGCAGGCCTGCAGGCTGAGGCCAGGGAATGCCAGGCCCTGTGCCCCGTCCCTGAGGTCACAGGTGGACAGGCGACTTCCACAGGATGGTTGATGTCCCGAAGGTGGCCTCTCCTCCCGCCCTCCCCACGGTGTCTGGCGCACTCTGCCCCACACGTGGCCTGGACCCACAGATGCCGCCAGCTGTGTGGGGCTGAATCAGTGGAGCACAGGATGTAGTCACCGCTGTGACACCAGGCAGCTTCCCGCGGCTGTAGCGGTGGTCCTGAGAGTTGAAGTAGTAAAAGAAGGCTCAGGTGGGCCGGCAGTGTTAGAGGCCCAGGGCTCAGAGACCTTGGGTGAGCAGTGCGTTCTACATCTCGTCAGGAGGGCTGGTCAAGCAGCATCCTCACCTCCTGGCCAGGACAGGAGAAGAGTCGGGGCAGAGGCCAGGAACCCGGGGTCCCGCCAAGGCAGCCCCTGTGACCTCAACGCCTCAGCCCCATCACCTTTCCTGTGGGAGGGAGCACAAGCTAAGGGGTGTCCTGGTGACCTCCATGTGGGCTTCCAGCCTGCGGCTGGGGCTCTGACTGCCGCTGCCCTCCACCCTGCACCAAGGGGATCTGGCTTAGGCGGGCTGGGCCTCACTCGGCAGGGCCCTGAGACCGTCCTGTCTCCTGCCTGCTTCTGCCACCTTGAGCCCGTTCCTCCTCCAGTGATACAAATCGTCATGTGAATATATTATTGTGTATTCATACATGTTCCTCAACCTAAGCAGCTGCTTTTTTTCCTTCTGATTTTTTTTTAAAAGTCATACCATGATTGCCCAGAGAGGTGATAAGCCCCGTGTCCAGGGCACAGGGGACCGGCAGCACCCAGCTGAGGGGCACAGGGCTCACTCACAGCCACCACCCTGAACAGGACACGGGCTGTGCTCCCGGCTGGGCAGCATCTTCCCAGGCATGGGGTCCACTCTCCGGGCTGGGGCAGCCTGTGGGGAAGGGCTCCAGCTGGTGAGGGGAGGCATCATTCACCAGACAGGCACTCACCTAGCAGGCAAGCGTCCATTGTTTGGGGACGAGAAGGCTACAGGTCTGCCGGAAGAAGACATTAAGAGGCAGCGGTGGCGGCTGCGCCCTCTCCCACTCCTCCCCGTGGTGCTCGCTGACATCTCCCCTGTGTGTGCAGCGTCACTGTGTGCCCAGGCCCAACCTGGAACAGCATCTGCCAGCACCACCTGTGCCACATGTGAGCAGGGTGTGACACG